TTGTGACACTGAAATAATGTTTCACTGGACTATTGGTGTAAAATGTTAAATGCAGTGTTGTGTGATATTTACTGTGTAACTATTACTGACACGTTTCACTTATAAGTGTGGTGAGTCTGACAAAGAGAGCGTACTTTACGCATAAGACACACACACACACACACACACACACACACACACACACACACACACACACACACACACACACACACACACTATTAGTGTAATATGTACATAATAGATACACACTCCCAGGTGACCTCTCCTTGTTTCTCCCTCACACACACACACACAGCACAGTGAGTCATGTTGCAGTGCGTAAAACCATCTATCTGCCATTTTCTTCTTTAGGAGACACAAAAAGTGAAAACACAGCCAACTGGCTGACAGCAAAAAGCGGCCGGAAGAAACGCTGTCCATACACCAAGCACCAGACATTGGAGCTGGAGAAGGAGTTCCTCTTCAACATGTACCTGACCCGAGAGCGCCGCCTAGAGATCAGTAAAAGCGTCCACCTGACGGACAGACAGGTTAAAATCTGGTTCCAGAACCGCAGGATGAAACTGAAGAAAATGACGCGGGAAAACAGGATCCGGGAGCTCACCTCCAACTACGGATTTTCGTGATGAACGAGGTGATCACATTGAAATAGAAGAGAATTGGTGAAATCAATTACTACACCCCCCTTTCCACTTCTCCAGCCAACCCTCCCCTCCACCCCACCCTCCCTCACCACTTTGTCCACATGACTCATTTCACTGTGGGGTCTACAACTTTCTTTTATTTCCAGACACGCTCAACGCCATCGTCCTCTGTGAGCTACGGAGAAAAGGAAAAAAAGGCAAAAAATGAACGTTAGAGGTTCTATTTGATTGTTTTCTGATGTTGTGTTTTTGTATTGTCGACACGTTTCTGTCACGTCTGTCGTATGGTTGGATAGTGTCGTCAGTGGAGTTAAATCAATGCAGTTACACACACACACACACACACACACACATACACTATGCCCTAGAAGGTGGTTTAAAATGCCCCCTCCCACCCCACCGCTGGAAAATAACCTTTTTTAAATTTAGTCAAACAAATATGAATCTATTTACTTTTAATTGGAATTGCATGATATAAAGTTTTCCTACATTTTGTTTTTTAGTAATTTGAAACCACCCTGGAATATAAATATAATGCCCATGTTTCACCAAGGGAGGAATAATTCATCTATGACCATTAGATGTAGTCCACCACCATATAGGTCTATTCTATGTATGAGCTAAATGTATAAATTGAGTCTTTATTCACGTTGAGGACGTTTACACGAAAACGGTGCGCAAAGTGTAGGAGGAATGTTTTTATTGTATATTTCTGTGTATATATGACATTGTGTTTTTGTGTAATGCTTAATAAATTATCAGCTCGCATTAAGGACTAGCTCTTTGTATTTTTGTACCATGCGTTTATATATATATTTTTTTAGTCTTTTTAGTTTTCAGTTAATATGACACAGAAGCAGAAAAAGGCTTTGTTTGAAATTCAAAGTCCAAAATAATACATGCTCCTTCACTGGGGACTGGCTTGTTTTTTCGTGGACCAGCTTAGAAATGTTTCTGGGGGCTAATGTAATGGCCATCGGAAATAATTAAGATATTAGGCTATAAGCCGTCTAGCTGCATGCCCAGCCGGCTATTGTAGAGTTTTATGACTGGCTGGTATATGAGGTTTCTCCCTCTCCTCTAAGAGCAGCTTCAGTCGTGGGAGAGCCTTTCAGACGGAGAGGAGGCCCGGCTCTCAGCTAGAAATCTGAACTGTACAGATACACTGTGGATAAAAGATTACCTTTGGCTTTAGTTTGGAATACTGGGATTAACATTTCTGGGGTCGGGTAAGTCTATTCATCATTGTGAATTTGTCCATTTTGCGCCCTGTTGCAGCGGCTTCACTTTAGTGTGTACAACACACACTTGCACTTTCTCGGTACAGACGAATTTGTGGACACTTGATGACGGAACCGACGACCACGGTGCATTATGAATTGGCTGATTGTGTTTCACTTGAGGCCCGGATCGACTGTCGAGTGGTTTAGGTAGTTTCATGTTGTTGGGGTCCATTTCTAACTCTGCAACATGAAACTGTCTTAATTGCCCCAGTTACATACATCTAAACCAAACGGAAAGAAAATCGGGGACATAAAGATGATGGGATTTGTAGAAAATTGTGAAGAGGTGATTTGGAAGCATGTTCTAAACCTGCCTGGCTTATAAATCGGGGAGGGGTTGGCTGGCTGGCTGGCTGGCTGGCTGGCTGGCTGTTATTGTGTATATTCTTCTCCTGTCTCCTGTGATGTTTTCTGTAGGATTCCACATTTGTTTTGTCTTTTGAGCCGGAGTGGGCATGTGTGCTGAATTTAAACATGATCAAAGCTGAGCTGCAGTATGCGTCGTGGACTTGGGATTATGCCGTGAGTGTTTTCCGTGAGTAGTAGTGACGCAGACACGCCAGACAAGGCCTCGGTTACGACCACTGCAGTGGAGGGGAAGGGGAAGGTGAATGGGGCAACAGCGACCTCCGTGGGCAATGAGACCGGATGCTTCCGCTGCGCAATAGTAGGCTCAGACAAAAGGAGGGGAAGGGCTTTATGGCGATATTTAGATCCGCCAGACAGGCTGTTATCTGCAGAGGCAAAAGAAGTGAATAGCCCCTGCGGTAAACTGGGTGAAAAAACACCCTGATTTAGGTTTACAGCCTGAGAGCCATTGGCACAGTGGCGTCTTTTCCTGCTCTGAAGGTGTTTGTCTATTCTAACTTTTAGTGCACAAATAGGCGCACAGCCGCTCTTTTCCCCCCCTCGGCTTGTTTGATGTCTGTTGTCCAAATAATGTGCAAGTACCAGTGAGGTGATAGTCTGTCTGCAAGCAGAATGCACATTATGGACACCTTGTCTTTTTTTTTTTCTGTGCTCCTTTGCTAAATGCTGAGAATAGCTGTGTGTTGAATTGCTTGTGGCCTTGTGGGGTGTTGGCCAAGCTCTCAGTTTATTTGCTGGTAATAAATAAAACAAGCAGGGTAATATGTGAGAACTCAAGGTTGCTGCTTAGTGCATCTGCAACGTGGGTTCAGGTTTAGGATATAATGTGCATTTATACGCACTTAGCCTCCTCCCTTTTCCTTAAAATTCACATTGATTTTAAGTTATTGATGTTTTTCTCCCAGTGAATACACATTAAGTATCATCAGTGTGATTATTCTGTTCTCTGGTTGACAAAATATATTTTCGGCTGAATACATTTGTACTAATCGTGCTTCAGTTATAGGTTATCAAACATGCACCCTGTGTATTTATATATAAACCTTCTTATATTATACCGTATTAACGGGCAGTTTTCTTCTATTAATTCATGCATTTATTTAATACATTTTAGAATCTAAAGCACCACCACATAGCCTACAGTAGCCTATGTTTAAAATGTGCTTGTTGTGTTTACCACTCCTCGCACCATTACATTTTAAAAGGAGGAAACCGCAAAGGCCACATTACGCGTATGTGTAGCAGTGTTTAGGTGTAACGTTAGACCAAAGCACTGGCTGCTGGCGGGCATTAGAGTTCATTTGTTAATGGCAGTGATGAAACCAACATATAGGCCTACACAAGTGATAACGGCTGTGCAAATTATAAACGGGTTAAACGGCAGGTCAGGCATCGAGAAACCGGGATCCGACATCAACATGTTATGTTGAAATATTTAATAAACATTCGACTATCGCACTTCATGTGGATCAGTAACACACCCAATTCATTCAGTTTCTTTGCTCGTTTTAAATTGAGATTGTACTATTTTCTATTGTGACAATTTTCTATCACACATGAGGCTACGTTATATTTTATATCACGCAGTCATAGGCTGTCCAATAAATGTTAGTTATTTTATTTATTATATTGAATAATGGTTTTTGAGCCGCAGTTAGAGCCACATTTAATAGTTTCAAACTGTAACAAACTTCAAAATAACAAACCTGTTTTTTTCTTTTTGTTAATCTGACTGAAATTTTCAGAATAAAAAAAAATTTCAAAAAAAAAAAATCTCATGTTTATAGTTTTTTTCGGATATAGGAAATGTATATAGTCCTGTTTTGTTTTAGATAAAACTGTATATATGCTGTAATGTGGATTTTTAGATCTTAGATATGTAGCCCTGTCCCAATTTATACGATGACGTGTAATATCTGTGTCTAAATAAAGAAATTAGGTTATTGGAGAAAAATATGCCCATATGATAAACATTAGCATATGCTTTGTTTTCAACACAGTTTGCACAGGCCTACACATAAATGTGTTATTTATAAATATTGAACTGAAAATAACCATTTTAGCCTAAAACTATTATAAATATGACCTTTTGTCTTTGTAAATTATGTTTGATATTTGAAGTTGAAAAGAGGAAAATGTACGGCCTTTAGAAGATGTCTGATGCAGCAGAAACAGAGTAAAAATAAATACAAACGTAATTTGTACGGACGTGATTTGAGATCCAGATGTTGTTTGAGCTTTATGTTGCAAAGTTTTTTAGTATGGTGTTTAAAATGTGTTTTGGTGAGCAGCAGTGGTAGGGTGCTTACGTGTCCTATAAAGTAGCTCGTAAAATAAGACTTCCAAAAACATACTGTATCGTTTTGGATAACATAGGACGGATTTTAACAGCAACAACTGGCTGAGGCACTGTAAAAGTAAAAGTTTTTTTCTTCAGTCATTCATATTTCCCATCTCACAAACAGCAGATCTCGCTCATATCTTGATAATTCTTAGCTTTAAAAGTGGAGGTTGTTATAGGAGAGCGGGTGAGTATTTAATGACCAAAGGGATTGATTTATCCTTTATTGTTCAGCCTTTATGATCACGTGTGTCTGCTGCCCAATAGCATGGCAGCCTGTCTCCCCATTACTAGCCCACTGTAGTTCTCTGTGGGGCCAAGTTGCTACTTGATTTCTCCACATTGTTATTTTGTGAGGCTGGGTTTACTGCGTGTGTATGTGTGTGTGGTGTGTGTGCGCGTTTTTACTTTTGCATGTATCTGCTGAATGACTGCGTACATGTGAAAGTATAATTTTTCTGCCATGTCGACATCCGGAACACTGACTAGTTACTACGTCGATTCCCTCATTCTGCCCGAGAGCGAGGAGGTATCCGTGCCGAGATACTCCTCTGGTCCTGGGCTCCAGCATGCCAGACAACCCGCCTCTATTAGCGACCACAGCGAGCTTGGGACTTGCACCTTCCCGTCCAAACCTCCGGTATTCGGGCCGTCATGGAGCCACGTCCCGGCTCAGTTCCCAGGCACCGTCTCCTCTGTTTATCATCACCACTATGGGCATCCCCAAGGCGCGGTGGGTGCAGATACAGATGGCCGTTATCAGTCGTGGCTGCTGGAGCCCATGTCTGGTTCCCTGCCCATGACCGGATTACCGACGACCCATCACTACGGTATCAAACCGGAGGGTCTGGGGACGCGAGCTGACGGAGCGCTGCCGGGCTCCCACACGGCGCTGCTGCTCTCTGATTACGCCAACGGGACGGTGGCGACGACATCACCGGTTGAAAAGGACGCCCTGTCCGGCCAAGCAGGGGACATGAGCGGAGAGGGCGAAGAGAAACCGGGCCTGGATCCAAGTAAGTGGCTGCAGAATCCTTTATGTTTATAGTAGGCTATTTATACCGCATAAAGCTTTGAGGATTGGGGTGCGTGATGGGGGTGCGCGTCTGAACAGATGCCATTTACGTGCCATGAACGTGCCATTTCCTTATGGGGACTGTTAATGGCCCAGCTCTCCCATTGCTATATTAGATAACCTTTTGCAGCTTTTAAAGTGAACGTGAAGAGACAGAGAGAGAGGGAAATAGGAGTGAGTTTTATTTGGATGTAGCTGCCTTTACATTTGTAGCCATTTTCTTCTCACCAGTATAGGAAGTTATTTTTTTTTTTTTTTTTGGTCTGAGCCAAATTATGAGTGATGCATGTTTTTTTTTGTTTGTTTTTGTTTTTTTAAACATTTGGCCACTCAGCACCGGGCCCTCACACCAGTGTCGCACCCCACTCTTTTCAGATAACCCAGTGTCCAACTGGCTCCACGCGAGTGCCACGAGAAAAAAGCGCTGTCCGTACACCAAGCACCAGATCCTGGAGCTGGAGAAAGAGTTCCTCTTTAACACCTACCTGACCAGGGACCGTAGGTACGAGGTGGCGAGGCTGTTAAACCTCACCGAGAGACAGGTTAAAATCTGGTTCCAGAACCGCAGGATGAAGATGAAGAAGTTTAATAAAGACGGCGCACCGAAAGACGAGTGACTGAAGCCGTAGATAAAGATTATTTAGGCTGATGGCTGAGCTTTGTGTGTGAAAGCTCTGAATTCTGCTGGACCTTGTTTTTAAACTTCATTGTCTTATTGTTCTATATAACAGAAGCTACTAGGCTTATTTGTCTTGTTAAAAAAAAGCATGTTGGGCTTCAGTTTGATGCGACTACCTTTATATTGCACAATTTTAACAGTGCCCACTCGTTTTTTTTAATTTGTTCTTTTCTTATGTTGAGTTGAATTAATACCTCGTTAAAGTGTAGGCTGTTAGTTGGCCTGATCCCTGTGCTTGTTTGTGTATGGATGTTTCTAGTTGTGTGTGTTCTCTGGTTTGTAGTTCTATTTGTTGTCTATCTCTGGGTCACCTGAGCGTCTAGTTTGTAAACTGTGTTAATTTTATTGTTTCTCCCTTACTACTAGAACTATGACTGATGACCATGAGTTTGAATCTAACATTGGAACCGTAGAAAAACCGACTGATCGCATTTTGAAGTAGGTACATAAACCTCACACGCCTCTTGAAAATGCTTAGTGAATTAAAAGATGTTATAGAAGCTATATTACATGACATTGTTGACTACCTATGTGTCTTTCAACTACCTACAATAACTTCTTTTTCCGTTGGCGGATTATAGTAGATTTGCTTGCATTAGATACTGAACTATGTTTGAATTTCAGGGAGTAACATTTTGAAAGAACATAATGTTTGTTAGTGAGAGAAAATGATTTAAAACACTGTAGGCTACTTAATGAATACCTCACGGTCTGCTTGACCGTCTGACTTTTGGTTCACAAATGTAATTTGTACTTTATTTATTAAATAAAACAAATTATATCTGCGAATGCATGCACGTTACATCCTTATTTCATTTTGGCCTCATATCGAAATGTTTTCTTTTTAAATCACGAATTCTTGGTGCGCAAAAAGTCTTTATCAGTGCTAATTTGCATTGCAAAAATTATCAAGGTTACTGCTGTCAACCACACACACACACGAAAAAAAAAAAAGATATCTGGATACTTTAATAGGCCTGAATAGTGCAAATTAACATTTCTTTTAATAGTTAAATAGTTGTTTAATAGTTTTTTTTATAAATATAATATTATAACACACACACACACACATCAAAATTCACACGCCTATAAGTGAATAATTGTGTGTGTGTGCGTTTGTGTTTGTTTGTGTGTGTGTGTGTGTGTGTGTGTGTGTGTGTGTGTGTGTGTGTGTGTGTGTGTGTGTGTGTGTGTGTGTGTTTCTGTTTCTGGATTGGGGACAGAGCTGCGTCTTGGCAGAGGATGTTGTTAGCTGTATACAGCCATAAAAGACAATTACCGCTATAACCTTTTATGGGGTGCAAAGCGCTGCGAGGCGAGAGGACACAAAACAAAAAAAGACACCGAGTGCTTCGACAGCTGAAGCCCAAAATAATGCAGCTGATGTGTTTCTGTTCAGCTCAGATATGACAAGGCCTCTGAGCCTAAAGCTCCGTCATTAGCGCCATCTTCACACAATTAACAATAACAACAAGCCCATTATGACAGATTATGATGACATACAACTTTAGATTTCAGTTAAAAAGTAAAAAAAAAAAACATGACCTCAGATGGACAATCCAAAAGGTTTTTAGCGAAGATTTCGGTCAACTATGTCTAGTTTTAAAGTATGGTCTCCCTGCGTAAAGCTGTTTCAAGTCTCTGCATGTTGGAGGAAATATTTGGCACAAAGATATGGAACATACGGCTTCAGAGCTGCAAATTCTCCTGCTCGACCAGAGACAGTCCCATCTCCGTCAAATGCAGCAGGTAGACCTAATTTAGTTCACATTAAGGGCTGTACAGAGGCGGATACATTATTGTAATTAGAAGGTAGGCTAAGTCGGACTTTGGTCGAACTGGAGTGCTGTTGTGACGCGTTAAAGGACGCAGATGGACCCAAACTTCAAAGACTCGTACAGAGACAGTGCAATAAAACGCCTGGTCTGCTATACTGTCTGGCATTCCAGTTTTAATGGCTTTATGGCCGTCCAGACACAATTAGGCCGTTTCCAGAATGGCACCCATTTGTTTTTTCTTCTCTTTCTGTGGGACTGCGCTCTGGACAAAAGGCCGAGCGGAAATGATCAGCTTTATTGGATTCTCCCCGACGGGGACGCGCAGGACTCACGGTCATTTGGAGCGATCCTTTGTTCCTACCTGGGAACCTTCCGCCCTCTGCTCCTCTGCTGGGCCCGACCTAAAGGAGAAGGAGCAATAAAGCCAGCAGCAGAGTAGCAGGCCTTACTATATAGATGCTTATATCAAAATCCATCTGGACAAGTCTGTTGGAGGACACCGTCGCTTTGCTTAAAAAACAAACAAACAAACACAAAGTTGCCTTTGATGGTCATTTCTCTGACTTTTGACTTGTACCTTGTATTTTCTCTCGGATTGCGACAGAAAGACAAAACACCCGCGCACTGCTGCCTCCCCATCCTGCAGTCCCTCTCAGTCACCAGAGAGTGGCGACACTGTTCCACAACATCACACACACATTACTTTTAACCAACACTCCTCCCTAATGAACCTGCACTGAGGAAAAACACTTTAGTAACATTTTAAGAGTCCAGCAGAATAAATTCACACCATTTACAGCCTCAGAGCAGAAGCTGCTTCTGCAGCCTGCGGCTCTGCAGAGAAGAGTGGAACAGCCAGCACACACCGTAACTGCTGCATCACTGCTTGTGCTCTCTAATAGCCGCTCTGTTCACCGCTGCCCCTCTCTTTGGGATGATTTCGTACGCTTTTATAGACGTAACAATTTTAAACTAAATTAATTTGTTTGATAACAGAGTTATGACTAGCAGGAAATCTGGAGCATTTCCCCTCAATTTATCCACATAATCCACACGAATGAATGCATTATGTCCTATCAAGATATATTTTACAACAAACCACAATCGACACAGTCACTATCAATAATAGTTTTCCATGTTTCCAAATAATTTAGTGAATTTAGGCAACAATAATAATGATGATGATGGTAATAATATTAATAATAGTTTTTTCTAGGTATTTCTGACTATTCGCTTTTTCATCCTGCGTGTGTGCGCATTGCAGTCACACTTTTTACTAGATTATTTCCCAATTATGGAGCAGTTAGCTAACACTGTAATACCAGAATGAACATTTTTTTGATGATTTACTACTATTAACAGGCTATTATTATTATTATTATTATTATTATTATTTATTTATTTATTTACTTATTTATTTATCTTTTTATCTATTTATTTATTTATTTAAAATAATATATAGGCTAAATAAACCGTAGCCTATATTTCTATAGAGCGTGGGTTAATTGCACTGTTGATGACTGAATTAGTTAAATATAATCCAAATACTGTCTGTATGTATATTTTATGACACGAAACTGGAGGTATTGTTTTTAGTTTTTTTTTAAGCAAGAGAAACCAACAAAATCACTTTCTGTTGGGATAGTATTTTTTTTAATTTTATTCATGATAACTATTATAACCAATTATCATAGTAGTGTAATTGTGAGCTTATGATTATCATTATCATGTTGGTTAAATATTCCACAAAAGTAGCTGCATGAAATTAAAAGAATAAAGCTCGATGATTAATTGTAAAACAGTTGTGGGCATGAAGTTAAATTACGCAAATTTGCTTTTTCAGTGGATTGTCTGAATTTCACTCGTGTGTGTTGTGTGTGAAGCGTTAGTCCCACTCTGCAGTCCTGCGCCATGATGAAATCTATGTCTGCCTGCTGATTGGATGAGAGCGGCCAGGCCTGTGTCACGTGGTGAATTCTTTGGTCCAGAGGAAAAAATGGGGTTTGGTGTAAATCTAGGGTGTATTGCTGTCATATATCACACTACCTCGTAAAAACGACACTGAGGATTCTGGGCCAACAAATCAGAGAGGAAAAATATGAGTTCTTATTATGTGGACGGTCTTCTTAGCACATATACGGCGGGTAGTTCTCTGTTCCCAAACGCAGACCGGGCTTCTTGCGGTATTGGACCTAGTGGAGAGGACTATGGCTCGGCTCGGGCTGCAGCGGCCATCGCGTTTTCACCGTCCCTGTCTGCAGTTTACAGCGTCAATAATGCAGTATTCCAGAGCCGCCCCGTGTTTACCTCGGGCTATAGCCAGGTGCAGGACGCACACACACTGCATTGCAACCCGTTTGACCAGAGCCGCCTGTTCACCGACAGCTGCTGCCATCCGGGGCCGGGGCCCCTCACCTCGCCGCCGGACAAACAACACCGGATGTACCCGTGGATGAGAGCATCAGGTATGTGCTGATACTGTGTCTTATGTGCTATTTCTAAGCCCTCAGGTCAATGCTTTTACAAAACATTGGGATACTTACACTGACCGTTAGTGGTTCAATTAATTTCGTGAAGCCATTGGTGTTGCATGGAAAGAATCGTAAAACTTTTATTGCGCAACTAATGAGTTCTGCGGCCATAAATTCATTTGGCCAGCGCTTCTGTGTGTTCAGTACGCAGAGACCTTGCCGCTGGGGGGGTTTCTCTGCACTCCTATTACTCTTATAGCCTCTTCTCCCCTTTGTGGTTGTAAAAAAAGCACCGGCCTGTTGTGTAAATCAGTTCTCTTGCAATCTGCAGCTCCTTTCTAATTGGGTCGGCACTGCAGAGCCTCTGTTATTTTCTGAAACTCTTTCGCACACAATGCTGCATCAATATGCACCGGTATTGTAGTCTGCGTAAAAAAGTCAGGTGAATTTAGAATTCAAGCAGTAGACCTTAGTTATAATTTTGGAGGTGTTGGGAATTTAATTACTTATGGCTCCTTTGGTGAGCAAAACATTGCTGGCATTTAATTGGAAAGGCATGCAGAGTATAGAAGGGGGGCACGAGCCAAACAGGACTACTTTAAATAGACGCAGAGAACTTCAAAAAATAAAATAAAATTTAAAAAGTTAAAAAAAAAATGTAACTGTCTCTCCTACAGATTCGCGTGTGTGCCAGGGGAGTGTGTTCTGTGAATGAGTGTGTTGGGGCTGAAGGAAATGTAAAATATGAGCCAAAATTAATTGCGCAATCACAAATGAATGAATAAGACCCAGGATATTTCCTGCTGCAAGTTTTTATTGTAAGCACCACTATAATTAAGGGTTTATACAGTATCATATTTCATACACGAGGAAAAAAGAAACAAAACAATTAATTTTCTGCATATAGCTCATGCATCGTATCTTCTCTCCAACAGATCCAACTCGAAAGCGTGGTCGGCAGACCTACTCCCGGTACCAGACCCTTGAGCTGGAGAAGGAGTTCCATTTCAACCGGTACCTGACCCGCAGGAGGAGGGTCGAGATAGCCCATGCCCTCTGCTTGTCAGAGAGACAGATCAAAATCTGGTTTCAGAACCGCAGGATGAAGTGGAAGAAAGACCACAAGGACGAACCGGTGTCAAACCCTGGGGAAAATGACGGTGACATCCAGGCGGTGTCTGAGGCCAGAGTGGGGGAAGCTGGAAGCACCGGCAGCTCCGGTTTGGAGTCAGAACCCGCTGCAAAGTAAAGCAAGGGAATTAAAACACTTAATTGTGGGTTTATTATGATAAGTATGGGTTGGAATATAACTGACATACCATTCATGCACTACAGTTTGAATGACAGCTGAAGGCAGTTATAAACTAAGCATTTATCAGTATAGACTGTGAGATCTGCATTTCAAAATTAAAAACCCGAAATGCATTAAAAGAAAAAGCTCTGCATGAAAGAGCGATATTAACCCACCTATCCAAACTCTATTTTTATATACAACCACAGTATGTAATTTCACCTAATTATACTACTGAGCCAACATTCCTTTAACGAAAAGCTACCTAACTTTTTACCTGCTAACATCAAAAACACTGACGCAGCGAATTCAACATATGTTGAAATTGATTGTAAATTAATCTGCTCTACCTAGTTTTCTTTCTTTTCCTTTTTTTTTGTAGCCTTTTTCCAAAGGGAACAAACACCACATTCGTCGTAAATGTGCCTTATTTTGAAAATAGACTAAATAAAAGGGAATGTTTTGTTAGTTAAATGCCTCCAACTGTGTTTTAGGTGCTTATTTAGTTTTAATAGGCCTAAGTTTATCGTTATATTGTTGCTTTATAACCACTTTATTCATTAGAATAGCAATATCCCTGTTTTTATCTTATTGTTGGAAACCAGAGTGAACAGAATTATGTTTAATTTCGGATTGAATTTATGCAATCTACCTCAGACTCCCAGATGCTTCCACGTGCTTATTATACTGTAAACAGGAATACCCTAATGTAAATGTTATGAAGTCTTAGCTATATACTGTTATTGCATATTACATGTTTCAAGAACTGCAGGCTCAGAATTTCCTGCGTGAACACCAATAGGCTAATAAATTAAATTTTATTTAGGCAGCATTACCTTTCAGTATCAGGTTCTTTCTTTTGACGGTGTAAAATGAGTAGGCTACTCCAATCCACAATGTGCAAATACTGTGATATATTTAGGCTCAGTGCCCACGTTTTCAATGTGAAGTAAAATGTGAACAAATGAATATAAACAAATCTTAAACCTTTTGAAATGTCTTAAATCTGTAAATGAAAATAAAATAATTGAATAAAATAGCTTTCACCTGCTGATTTGCTTGCATTTAATATTTGCGTTCAGTATTTGCGCACTTACTATTGTGTAACCTTCACAATCATGATGACAAACACTGTAATCAGGCGCCGGCTGATAATATGTTGTTCACAGTCAGCACTAAGTGCCGTTCGCCGTGTCCAGTATCAGGTTGCATGCAATGAAACATGTTGCGGTCCATTATGAGGGCTGTAGGTAAACACTGGAGTTGGGGAATGTGAACTATGAGGATGCGAGATGGGGCAGGCTACAGATGAAGGGAAATTACTGTTGAACTCTGCATTCCCTCTTCCCTCGGTAAGATGGCGCCTGACGGTGACCTGCCCCCTTTCCTTCTCTGTGTGCACCCCCCCCCTCCCGCCCACACCACACACGCACACACCCACACCTCCTCCACCCCCTCACCCCCTCCACCCCCTCCTTTCCAGCGCTGGGTCATAAATCCGTTGTTGTTTATGAAAATTTACAACATAGCAATACAACTTTACGACTCGACTCGGCCTCCTATTGGTCGAGGCTCGTCACGTGGCGGGGAGCCGTGAACATGAACTTTTTATATATAATTTCCAATAGCGGAATAGAGCAGCCTTCCATTTAACGGTGTCGGGCTTCCACGCGGCTGTTTTCACCAGCGACCTTCTACATTTTATCCCCTTCACTTCTCCCCCTTTTTTCCCTTATTTTATTATAGTTTTTCTTTGGAGTTTGGATTTCTTTTTCTTTGTCGTCGCACAGGAGCTTGTCTTATGTTATGGATATGACTGGATCGTTTGGATGCCCGGCTGTCGCACCCCTGACACGTATTGGCAAGATGAGTGGAAGAAGCCCCGGTGCGTCACTGACCCCCGGGAGCCCCAGTTTCCGTCCTGGGACACAGCTGGATACTTTTACCCCCGTCACTGCCCATCTGCACCTGCCAGCTCCCTCCCCTGTTTACAAGCAGAAACCTTAACAAGGTAAGACATCTGAAACTTGTTAGTAAGATGCACGTGTTTGCTTTTTTATGCATTTCTATATTCGAAGCGCTTAAACAAATAATAACCAGCTCATTATTTAAACATTGCGCATCATTTGTTTCTGTTTAAATAGAGCGAGGTGGAAATCCTGTGGAGGAACTGGTTTCATGTTACAGATTATGTTGCTGTCATTTCAGGAGCTGCATGGTAAATCTAACCTATGTGAATTAAAGAAATCATGAGTTTTTCTATACTGGTATTAATTTCGTGTCGGTCGTCCTTTTGGTTTTTGCATGTTGTCCAGACTTTTTTTTTTGTTTGTTGTTGGATTTAAATGAGGATGAGCTTTCGGCTGCATAATCCATTGGGCCGAATGATGTGCTCTTTGACGCCCTCATGTGGAGACACGGGGGTTAGTGCTGTTGCAGCTCTGCCTGTTTTGCTGCAAATGTCTGTGGTGCAGATTAGACATAAAACAACTCTGTTTTTGTACTTGTGTGTCCGTGCATAATGCTTTTGTGCTTCATATGTGTGAGTGCGGACTTTGACTCACTATACATTGCATTGATAAATGGGGTATTTGCGAGAGAACAAACCAAGATTATTTCAGGGATTGAGTGACCATTTACTGTCGCTCAGGAAAGTGTCTGTCAGTGGAATTTAACAATTTCAAATATTTCTGTTTGTGTCACTCAGCGAAGCCTAATTTACTGTGTTGTGACACTGTAGTTATTTCGTGTCATAAATTCTTAGTCGGTCAAGCAGGTTCTGTGAGGAGCTATTCATTTTACTTATCCCATATCTGCTTATTAGTTCTTTTCATTTTTTTTTCTTTGCTTAAAAAAAAAAAAAAGTTGCACACTGACTTGTGTCTTATGCTTTGACTGCCGTTGCCCCAAACAACGTGTTCTTTCTGTGGGAGCAGACTATGAATGTTCTTATATGGTTGACGTCGTATTTACACAGAATATCATAACTATCCTGAATGTGAGTGCTGTGAGTTTTAGTCGTGCATCAGCCGTGCGTAATGATATTTATGCAGAAAATGAATTTAAAAAAATAACGAGATTTTATCTGTATACTCTTGGACTCACGGGTGCTAGTGTGCGGGGATGCCTGCAGAGTGCACTGCCCTCCTTTTTCCTGCAGCAGTGACCCCCTCGCTCCCAGCCCGACATATTTGACACCACGCACACTCACTTCTTTCCTTTCCTTTCTTTTGGTCCGTATTTAGTTCCTGGGTGTGTCCATTCCTCGGCTCGAGGAAATCATTTTCGTGGGAACTTTGTTGCCATTGGCCAGCCATAAATCAGCTGTTAGGAGCACGATTGTTAAGTCAACAGGGACTTCGTATAGGTCTTACTCTGCTTATTGTGGGCCCACTGGATGTAGGAGCCTGGTGTTCACCCTTCCTCGCATCGTGCCTTCTGGGGGTCTGTGAGCGTAAAGGGCACACATACCTGGAACAGAATAAATAATCTCTATCTCAGTGTTTTTGTCAGTAACGCAGGATTGGGCTTGTATTGGGTGGATGTGCTGCTCTGGGGAAATTGCATGTGGGGGGAAACCAGAGGACAAGTCGCTGCCTTCAAGAGAAGAAAGGTGCCATAAAAATTCCACAAGACGAAAAGCAAACGGAGAGCGCTGGAGGAGGCGACATTTTGAAGCTATGCAGAGTAGACGATAGCTGATTTACACTTTTTCAATAAATGTATTGCCCAGGTTACAAAATTACGCAAAACTGAGCAGATGTCTGTCAAGGTTTTTGAATGTAGCAACGAACGACTTCTGAACGGGTTGCTTTTAACATTTATTTAGAAAAATCTCTTATTTTTGCTTTTTTGTTTCTTGCTATGTAAATGACCGATTATACCATTGTTTTTAGAATCCTTCTCTAATATCACATATAATGTAATTTTATTCTTTTTAACAAGGGGAAAGGAGGAGTAGAAAATCATAGGGACGCTTCTACTTCTTTACAATGTTAACAAAGTTAAATACACACAGAAAATGGCAAAATGCAATAAATATGCAGGTTTTTGTTGCTACATTTGCGAAAAAAACACATATGAGCTACCTAAATTATTGTAGTGTATTTTTCAGGCATTTCAAATACAATGGCTTTATTTTAACAAGTAATCGTTTCAAATATTTCCCTTTTCAATAATTTCAAATTTAATTTTTTGGCTTTCTTGTTTTGTTTTGTTTATTTCAAAGGGACATTAAAAAGCTCCAGGCCGTACAGCTGCTTGTCAAAAGAAATGACATGTTATTCTCGATCAGAGTGCCTGTTTAAAAGTTAACATGACGGAGGATTCGCCGTTGAATCAGACCCGGAATAAAGTCGGGTTACGTGCAAAAGGATTGTAATATCATCTAAATGCCTTGTTGTTTGGCATCGTTAAATTTTAACCATCTTATACAGGCAGTAAAGTGGGTGTATGTATGTTCATATATAGCCCATATTCACAGTTATTAATTTTTAAAAGTGGCGTAGAGGAGCGGCCTTGAATGGCAGTCTCTGTGGCATCACTCGATAATGTGATGTTTAGCTTTTATCTTTCCCCCGAAACATTTATTCATTAGACTTCTTCCCACATGTGCGATTGTTCACTTGTTTTATGATTATAAGAAAAAAAACGTGAAGAAAACGCAGCCCTCTTTTGAATGGGCTTTTATTCTATTAACTGCACAGACTATTTGCACTCATCGCCTATCATAACATGCATAACAGAGTCTGATCGAATTATTTCTGTACACTACCCTCGCAGAGATTGCACTCTCAGCATGTCACTTGTTGTATTGTTTAGGAGCCCGTTGGTTTTTGCCGCAATGGTCGTTAACCTCTGAATGACCCCGTGTTTGGAGCCCACGCCTCAGAAAGCGCCGCAGACGGGCAGTGCAACAGTTGAACCAGAGGATGGCGCACCACGACAATTCAAAACACCCGAGCCCCTGCTCTGAGTTTGCCCGAGCCACGAGCGCATGGAGGCGCGCGCCCTTCTTATCCCACCCAGTATTTCCTGCGTGCACGAGTTTACCTCTGGAGGTCACCAAGCAGGATTTACGACTGGTCAACAAAAGCACGTGATTCTCCGCCGTACCCCATATTTGGGTGCCTACGTAAGAGAGAATCAAGTCCATGTCCCACTCATTTCCATAATTCATCATAAATTGTGCAAGGGTGCTATAGGACGCGCTAAACCATAAGAGCCACAAATCAAGCACACAGGTTTATGCTATTTTACCTCCAAAATAATAAAACAACAACAACACCTACAACGGGCAAACGGTGGAATTGTCAACAAATGAGCTCCTATTTTGTGAACTCATTCTGCGGTCGCTATCCCAATGGCGCGGACTTCCAGTTACATAATTATGGAGACCATAGTACGGCAAACGAGCAATACAGAGACTCAACAGCCATGCATTCCAGCAGGTACGGCTATGGCTACAACGGGATGGACTTAACAGTCGGGCGGGCTGGTACCGGACACTTTGTGGGCAGCGAGCGGACACCGGGCTACTCCCCGAGTCACTCAGCGGCGACGACACCCTCGGTGGAGCCGGTCAGGTACACTCAGTCCGCCAGCAGCACCGGGACCTCGTCTCTATCGCCACCACCTGACCCTCTACCGTGCTCCTCGGTCGCCAGCTCGTCCCCGGTCACCGAGAATCATTCTCAACAAAGAGCCGTGAAAAACTCCATAACGACCCCGTGCTCGAGCTCGAACGGAGGCACGCTGCTGCTCGGCCGGGACTGTGTGTCCAAAGCTTCCCCCCTGGAGGACGAGAAGCCTGCGGGAAGTGCACCGACAACTCCTCAAAATGTCACCGACTCAACACAGCCTCAGATATACCCGTGGATGAGAAAACTTCACATAAGTCATGGTAAACAGCTTTTCTTTCCTTTTATTAATGATCCTGTATTGATTTTAGAAACCTGGCACTGTGTTATTGTTTAGAAAATGAATAATCGGGTTTGTATCTTATTCTGGGACTTTGTTCCTGCAAGAAAAACAAAGCTAAATGTGACAATTTCGCCTCATATACTGAAAAGCTCAAAGTAAGTGTACTTTGCTATGCGCCTCTCACCTGTTTGGTGCTGTCAACATAGACCAGGTAGGCTACGGGATGATTTAGTAACATAACATATGATCTTAAAGTTAGTTTAAAATCTATAGGATATATATAGGGTGTATGCATTTGCTTGTTTAATCTGTTATATTTTTTAGAGTCAAGTGTCCCACATTTTGCATCTTTTTACTGTCTTAATTCATTTTCGCAAGATGCAACTAAAATGATCAAAGGTGTGTATTTGACTTTGCTACTTGTTGTTTTGCATGATTTTGGATTCTGTTAGGCGCCATTTAAAACCTGTTTGAAATCATACCTGCAGAAATCACAGGCAATGTAAAAAGAATTGCGAAATGTGATTTTTATTTTTATTTTTTCAAGTAGCTGAACTGTATGTTTTTCTAAATTAACATCTACTGTATCTCACGTGTTTCTTGTTGTAAAAGATTTGTCAGGACCAGAGGGGAAGAGAGCCAGGACTGCTTACACTCGGTACCAGACCCTGGAGCTGGAGAAGGAGTTCCACTTCAACCGCTACCTGACCCGCAGGCGGAGGATCGAGATAGCCCATGCCCTCTGCCTCTCAGAGAGACAGATCAAAATCTGGTTTCAGAACCGCAGGATGAAGTGGAAGAAGGACAACAAGCTGAAGAGCATGAGCATGGCGGCTGCAGGCGGGGGAGGCTACAGGCCTTGATATTCACTCCTCTACCCTCCCTGATAACGAGCACTATGAAAATAAAAACAAAGATTGTCATATCAACTTCTCCTCGTTCTCCTCCTTCAAAAAGCGCAGAGACTTGTTCACGGGGCTGTGTGCGGGACAGGGGGACACCCCATGCAGCCCACTGTATGTCCAACAACAGTCCCATTATATTCCTTAATATTATTTCCTTTTTATTTCCACCGTGGTAATGCTTATGTGAGTAAAAAAAAAAATGCATTATGTACAGTTCATTCTAGATTTAGAGGAAAAAGATACAAAATAAATGTTTGTTTAAATTATTTCTTGTTCAGACGAAAAAAAAACCCCAAACAAACAACAACAAAAAAAAAAAGCTTGAAATGCTTCCTACCTACCGCAAATAAATCCAGTCAAAGTTGTGTGATGCACTCGGAACAATAACAGCCTAACAAATAGAGGGTTGAGGTTGAGCTGCCTTTGTGTTTAGCCTTCGTTTTTTTCTATGTATGTACTGTATATGTATGTATTTATTTGTTTGATGTATTGTACCAACTTGTCAGATAACTTGCTTCCAAAAGTAGAGTCAGCAGAGTATGTTTAAGCCTTGTGTGGTTATTGTGTGCGTTGTGAACACATGTATGGACAGAGGAGCCGACTCAGTCTTGTATGTACAGTAGCTGTGCCTTGTATCTTTTTTTTAATTTTTTTTTTTTTTTTTTTTAATTTTTTTAACTTTCTTTTGCAGGAGCTGCTGTTTGCGTTGTTCACCTGGGCGCAACATCTTAGTAAAAAAAAAAAAAAAAAACGTCTTTTTGTCTTTGTTTTCTAGCTGTTTCTATGTGGAGGCTCCCACGGTAAATTTCATTGCCTATGTGTATAACTCCATCGTGATAAGCTTTTTGTAAATGTTTTTCAAAGACTGGAAGTCAAGAATATACTATAATAATGATAATAATAATAATGATGATGATGATGATGATGGACATAATAAACTTTCTACTGGAACGGCAACATCACAGCTGAGTTTACCTTTTTGTCAAATATCTCAGGTTTATTTGCGCTTTTGCCTCGACCGCTGCGTGGAAGAGAAGAGACGCAGTTTGCTCTTTTCTCCAAAATCTCTAAGCCCCACGTATGAGCTGTCCAAAAAATGATCAGTGTCTCTTCAAGTTAAATCTTGAATTCAACAGGTCCCCCTTATATGAAAGTTTCTAGTTTTACTCACCTCTCTGTGGAGCTGGGGGCTTTTTTGGGGGGTCCTTGGCCACTACACAGGCTCCAGGGGCCGTCCCCTTGCGCACAGACTCCTGGGCTATTCCCGGGGAATCAGCTCGACTTTTTCAAGCTGTAAACTTTATTAGGGCCGATTCTGGCTCTCTGACATTTGGGTGCTAAATGAATGGGGGGTTTTGTCTATGAATTAGATCGTAAAAATCATCCGGAGCGCGGCCAGATAGGCTCACTGGCCATAAACGGTCACGTGGTAGCCATTAAAGTAAGTTTTATGGTTTTGGGGAGTTGACAGTATATTGCACATAACATATAATCGCACTGACGGCGAGGCTTCGTCTGACTCTCTCTTTGCAGGCTGTAAGTGTTACTTGACCGGTAGAGACCGTCTCTATTGCTCAGTCTGCCTCAGTATGGACCGGACGCTCTCCAGGATGAGGACCGCGTCTCTGGGTAAGTTTCTGCAGACTAGCCGGTAGCCTGAGAACAGTCAGCCTGTGTTAGACAGCCTTATTATTGTATTCGCTCCCTCTATCCGTCCCTATTAGTCCATTACACTAATTTGTCAGTTGTGCAGTGCTGAATACTGGTCTCGGCAGATGTTGCGCAGGGTTGGGTCCGGCTCATGGCTATTTAATTGCTTCCTTCCCCGTGTAACTTGTTTCCCTCCATCTGTGGTGTAACTCATAATCCATTTTTACATGTTGGATAATTATCTCTGTGTCCATTTCCACCCCCACAAACTTCTAGTTGTTGTCGTTTTATTACATTGGAGAATTCACAGACCGTGAGCCAGAAAGTTTCCAAGGGGTGTGTGGAGTGTGTAGATTTCCTTGATAAAGTTAAGCGCTAATGCAGGCCTACAGATTTACAGCTAGCTCCGTCTGATTGGATTCTGCATGTGCTGATGACTTTTGGAAGTTGTATGGGTCCATCTCTGGAAAAAGTTGCAGTTGTTGTGTTGCTGCGCGCACGCGCTCGCTCGCTCGCTCCACACGTTGGCACCACGTATGTGGCTCCAGGACAGGCTGTAAACAGTGTCAAGTAAACACAACATGGGAACAAACAACAGCAGGGAGACAGCTGAGAAGGAATTCCGTTTTGTGTCAGCCAAGTCGTTTTGTGTTTGGGGTTGAAAAGTTCAGATGACCTCAAAAAGTCACTCTCGCTTTGTGGTGACCTCTTGTCCGAGCAGAGCCGTGGTCAGAGCGGTCACCACTGCCACAGGGTGCTGAACCCAAAAAATATCAACTGGAAATGGGACAAAAAAAACAAAACCTTAGCTTTTGTTGGGACGCATTGGCCTTATCTTTTTCTTTTCCTGACCTTTTGGATGCGTGAAGAATTTGCATCAGTGGGTTTGTTTCTATAAGCGGAGAATTTCCAGACTAAATATGCTTGAAAATAACCAAATAATTTGACAGAGGACGAATATTTGTGTCTCACGAGTTTTGGCCTTCAATAACCCGCCTTTTGTAAACTTGCTGTTCCGTTGTCGGATTTGCAAAATTTAACGCTGCCATTTTAACCTAAATATAAACATTTCAGTTTTGGTGCGAAGACCTACATCACACAGTAAATATACTGGAAGTAACTTTTCCAGCCATTTAAAAAAAAAAAAAAAAAAGCAAAACAGGTTGTTTCTCACAACTGTGTGTCCCCATCACTGCGCAACTTTAAATAATTCATCAAGCCTTTTCCAGCTGCAGAGAAAATCTGATTGAGAGCTGATCACCTTTGAGAATACATTCTAGGCAAACAGTTTTTTTTTTTTTTTATCTAACAGAAATAAAGTTGGCGGTTGAATTGATTGTCAAATTGTTTGGAGCGATCCAAACCATATTTCTGGCACCCCTCGCTTTTATTGCTGAACACATTTCGTGCATTGTTGTGTAAAGGAGTCACCAGTTAGACAAAATGCGGATTTATCCTCTTTCCAGTTTCATTTTAGACACATTCAAAATAAAATAAAGACACACTGAGGATGCAGATATTTGGAAATTAAACCCCTTTGCCAATATTTCAAAAGGAGAAATTTCGACAGGGCCCCATGTGCGGCATGCTACCAGGCAGAGAGAGGGAGAGAGAGGGAGAGGAGCGCTGTAGGTTCATCTGGAGGTCAGCCACAGCACCAAAGATAAATCTGCATCCTCTCAGAGCCACCAGCAGAGCTCGCTTTAGGCCAAGTTCACTGTCACCCTGCTGTATGGAGAGAGGAAAACCACTCACACATCCCCGCCACCGCACACACACACACACACACACACACACACATACGCCTTCACGTTAATGACACGTTTGCATGGCGTTGCCTATAAGCATAATGCATAGTAACAAATGAATTTACCAAAGGACGGAGCGCCTGTGGTAACATCCTGCACTGGAGGAGAAGACTGTGCAGCGCAGAGAGAGAGAGAGAGAGAGAGAAAGAGAGAGAGGCGCAGTCTAACTTTAGGTGCTGCCTCCAACAAAGACTTTTGGCTGCTTTGGTTGCTCTATAAAGCTAATGAATGATTTGCATATTTTACGGCCCTATTAGTCTTGAGTGGGAGCCCGTTGGATCTGTCTTTTCACTCCCACGTTGGAAACATCACAAAGCCACAATTGCATTTTAGGTCCTGTGTTGGCATCTTTTCTAATTATGAAATTTGTGAAAATGATCATCTCGATGGCGAGCGGTGCACACACTGTTACAATGAATTTTTTTTTTTTTTTCGTTTCAAGAGATAGAGATATCTCACTGGGCTGGGACTGATGAGAGCGAGGAAGCTGCAGAAGAGGAGGAAAAATTGGGGTCAAAAGTTTACGCGCTGAACAAGTCTCCGTCATCTGTTCACTCGGAGCTTGATGCCAGCCTTATAATAGCGATCTTGACTCTCCACACAAAAGAGAGAATAGCTTTGAATTACATATGTTGCACGGTGCACTCCAGGTGAACCCTGGAAGCGCGGTGACCTCGCGTTTGGAACCGGGGGGAGGGGACCCCCCACCCGTCCCGGCAACAAGATTGAGTGGCTGGCGTTTTATTAGGGCGGTTGATTGGTGAATTTCTTTTGAATAAATTGCATTTGATATGTTTAGGGACGAGGGCAAAATTTGCATTTTGAGGATTGATACTCTCGACCCGGTCACAGGGTAATGGGAAGGCCCACAGCCCCCAAACTGCGCTCCCGGACCCCTTAAAAAACATTTAGCCCCTCTCTTCCTGATAAGCTGAATAGAAGCCTTTTAGGAAAACAGAGATGGCACAGATGTTTTTGTGACCCATAAAGAGAAAGTTTAAATGTATATATTTTTGTGTCAACGTGTAGTCTGTGTATTTCATTTTTCACCAGGCCTTTTAAAGCGCTACTGAAAAATAAAGTTATATCTTTTTGCGAGCTAAAATATCGAACCTTTAGTTGGAGGTGTAAAGGCGCACTGGAAAATAACAATATAAATAAGAAAGAACCAAGAACTACATTTCGTCGACATTTTGCTTAAAAAATATAAAGTAAAACTGTGTCCCGTAATTCGTAAAACTCATACAATGCAAGCGGCAACACAACAGACAAGATCCCAACAAGCTTCTCTTTAAAAATCAAATGAAATATATTAATATTACTTCCAACCAGAATGATAAAACTTTCCAGCTACATCTCCTCTGATGAAACGGACCAATAAAATCACAATATATTCACTTTCGTTTTTTAGAAACTTCTTTTTATTGTCATGTTGAAATGAAATCATTTGAAAAGAAACACTTTATTTCCCCAAATCACCACACACACACACACACACACACACACACACACACACACACACACACACACACACACACACACACACATAAAATCCAGGCAATTCAATTTGTATAGAAATTCAACACATTTTGTGGAAATTCACGTCACAGTGCGCGGCGTCCATGTGTGCAGAGTTTTCGGCGCTCTGCAAACGACACAAGTTTTAAACCAAGCAAACAATGTTCAAAAAATTCAAAGAAAATAAATCGCACGGTCGCTCAGTCACAACTTTGTTTGTTGGATTAAAAATAAAAGATAGTTAATGAAGATTAGAAGCGGCCCAATAAGCTGCTGAATAGCTCTGACTAAAGTCCCAGTGTTTCATATTATTTGTCTTATTTTTCCTTTAAATCGGTCACCAATAGTTCAGATGTTTTGACTTCTTTTAATGCAAATATTCAAATATTCTCCTCTTGAAATCCACAGTCCGAGTGATTTAACTTTCGGAAATGTACCTCATCCTTTAAACACAGCTTCTGCAGCAGCCAGGCGCGTATAGTTTTTAGTGTTTGGGGAACATTGGTTGATTATGTTGCATCGCTATTGTCTGAAAATGTAAAATTCAGCCTCAGCACTTTCAGTTGCGACGCTCTTCCCTCAGAGGAATAAGGACGTGGCTGCTCTTGTTCACCTCTTCACTCTCTGGCACTCTCTGAAGGTCACTGTATCATACGTCTGATCAAAGTCAGCAGCTGCAGGTCAGAGCTGGTGACCACTCTGTCTCAGCCTGGCTTCAGTAACCAAGTGGTGTAAAGGACACTGACATGTGACACACTGTAAAAGAGAGAAAAAAATACTTTATTACCAGTGTTTACCTATATGAAAATATTTCCATAAAGCCATGAGAGGTGTTGTCTTGGCACATCTTGAATGCAGAGGGGATTTTTTATTCCGCCCGTCATGCAGGGCTCCGGATAGACAAGAGACCTTGTGAGAGCCATCTGCAATCTGTCACCATCGTCCCAGCACTTCTCTGATAATCTAAATTTACAGTAAACTGTCAGCATGATGTATATTGCTTAAATAGACCTTCACTTCACAGCACAGGCTATGAAAGAGAACACCATGGTCCGGCTTGTTAGCTGATTTCCCCTGAAATCAAAATGTCTAACACCATCCTGTAACGGTTTTTTTTTTCTTCAACATCAACAGTAAAATTGGTCTTTAAATTTTGTGGAAAATTACTCAGATAGAGCAAACTGGTTCAACATGGTTTCCAGATGCTGCCTCTTTTCTTTTTCTTTTTCTTTTTTTTTCAAACTTAACGGTCAATTGGATGATTATGGTCCTATTATATTTTGCTATAAACGGAGGTGTTTGAGAGATTTCCAGATGTTTTATTACATCCAAACACACACAGCAGCACCTCCCAGGCCTCTGGTAGATAACATAGGTATTAGGCTTGTTATCTAAACCGCTTCCTATAGGTGTGAATCTTATTGATGTTTTAATATAGTTATCCACAGTCGAATATGAAAGAAAAAAAAAAAAAACTAGTCCACACAGCAACAAGTAGACTGACCTGTAAAAACAGAACCGTTATCCACGCTAGAATAACTTCCAGTAAGTGGATAATAGCCGAGATGACCTGGCCCATATTTATACAGGGACGATATATAATAGAATGGCAGCAGACTGTAAATTTAGATATCATGTGAAGTCGTCTTACCGCTGACATTATGTTGACATATTGCCTCTCAGGTGGTCTCTCGGCCATAGGGATACAGTGGATATATGGTAGACAGTACACCAGCTGCCATCTACAATGAGTCAGGCAGGCCTGTAAGATACACAGGACAGCAGCAGCTCTGCCTCACAGCAACAGTGTGCTAACATGGAAAAAAAACAAAAAAAAAAACAAGAATGCATTTTTTTTTTTCTTGAAGAGCAAAAGCAGAGGCCCTCCCTTCCTTCCTGTGGCTGCTGAGTAAAAGAAGAATTCACCTGTTTTAAGTCTTCTGCATCAGCATTTTCCCCCCAAAAAAGTCAAATTTCAGAGACGAAGCTCGACGTAGTGAAAGAAAAAGGAAATGTTTTTAATATGAAATATATAGGCTGCCTCTGTAGCTGGTGAGAACTCCATTCCTCACAGATGTTCATAGTTTCACAGTTCGTGTGTTTTTATAGATAGTTGCAGGTTTTCTGCACATTTAAAAAAAAAAAAAAAAAAATCCTCTGGGGACCTCCCTTGGATGCTGACCCCCGCACTATAAGTGTTCCCCAACAGACCCTGCAAAACTGAAGTCCAAGTCCGGGGTGAATCCCAGGTCACTGCGTCTAACAGATATGAAAATGTCGCCTCTTTGGAGAAGGGGCACGCCTTGTTGTTTAACAAAGACTGTCAATGGGCAAGATTAATCAGAAACAAAATGGAAACGGTGTCACTTTGGGGTCAGGCAGAAGTTATCTCTGTTTAGGGGAGAGAATAGAATAGAGGGGACCAGGGGGAGAAAAAAAAAGAGAAAAAAGAGTGCTTTCAATATTTCTGAAGTTTGGCCTCTTGTTTCTGCACGCAGAGGCCTTGTTGACGTGGACAGTGTGGATCCGCTTTGTGAAGAGCTGCTGCATCTTCAAGGGACACAGATACAGTGAGCCACCTCGGACATGGAGAGGAAACAGGACCTGGACGTGACGGCTGGTGGCGAGGAGCACGGTCAGAGGCTTTTATATTTATTCTACACCTTATAAAGATGTAGTTCAAAAATGTAGTTTTAATTATATTAAATTATATTTAAATATATGTGAGTCTGACAAAGGATTATCCTGAATTTGCATAGTTTTCTCCCTAAAAAAATCACATTTATTATTATTATTATTACTTTATTACTTTATCGTTATTATCTCCAAAACATATTTTCACCGTTCCAGCACATGACAGTGTTTCTGTGCAGCCTTTGCTGTTTACAGTAAAGTGGTGGCTGCTGCAGGAAGCGCAGCAGAGACTCTCTTTAACAACATCTTGCAGATTTATATTGACATGTCGAGAGAGAAAAAATACTCATGGTAAAGGTTTTTGTGTTCTTCCAAATGTTTTCAAATTTGAAAAATTATTAGATGAAGTGATATGTATTTATTAGATGTGAGGTTATCTGTGCTGTACAGAGTAATTCTGACATCTCTTGCTAAATGAGCTGCTCTGGTTTCAAATCCCACTGTTTGTGTTGGCATCTGGTTTTAATGCAAGGTACATGTCTGCAAGTGTCTGTCCAGTTTTGTGTTTTTGGACGAGCCTTTCAAAGGCACTTAACACAAGAAAACTGATAATGCGTGATGACCGTGCGATCAGTGTCAGATAAGTTTCATGTGGCATCAGAAGACCAAAAAAAGAAAGAGAAAAAGAGGCTTGAAATTGTTGCTGTATGTTCTGGTCGTTCTTTCATTTATATGCATGAAATGGACAGAGAATGGGCCATGTTCACGTGCACAGTGGTTCAACTTGAGAAGCGAATGGTTTGTGTCGTTCGTGTTGTTTGTGTGTGTGTGTGTATGTGTGTGTGTGTTATGAGCGGGCGTGAAGCAGGTTTTTACTGATACACAGGTCATATGCTTTATATGCAGGCGTGGATGGCCGCAGAGCAGCGGCTCGTCAGTGCTTGGTTAGGAAGCTTTTCCTCTTCCACTATTTTCTTTTTCGACCATTTGAATAGGATCAATACAACCCACTACCTTACACTGTATTGTACACATCATATTAACCTATTTCTAGTTCTCTCATTGATCTCTTTATTAGAATGCAACACAATTCAAACTCAGACAACATACTGATGTCACTGAGGGTCAGAAACAGTCTTTTGTTTCTGGAAAATCAGTATTTTCTCAAGGCTGGATTTTCATATTCACTTTCTGTCTCAGAGCAGCATGATTTTTTTTCCTCACATGCAGGAAAGCCTCACCCACACAAGTTTGGCCTCATGCAGTAAACAAGTTAGTTGATTGGTTTTGCTTTATATACTGTGATTTAATAAGGAAAACACCAACGTAAGCCAGTCCGACCAGTGTTGGTGGTACCAGTGCCATGCTTTCCATTGGTTCCTGTTTACATGATGCCCACAGGACACGCGGTGATTGGTGGCGCTTCACACGTGACCAGGCAACTTTGTACATTTGACAGGGAGTAGGAGGGTTTTGTGGAGATCAGAAAAACGACAGCGCGATAAAAATTAGTATTGTTGCACTTCACAAATTAATGACCATGAGTTCCTACTTGATAAACTCCAACTATATCGAGCCTTCCTTTCCTCCATGCGACGAATATCAGCAGAGCGGATACATCCCCAACCCTGGTGATTACTACGAGCGGCCAAAAGATACGGGCTTCCCCCATCACGACGAACCATCCTATCCGAGGTCAAACTACACGGAATCGGGCTACGATTACGGTAACGTCCCCGCCACCGGACTCGATGATTTCGGCGATGGGCATCACGCACAGCCGCAGCCGGTTCCACAGAGCCACGGTCCTCGCCTCACCGCGGCCCCAGACGGTGGCGCAGGGGCAAATGCCAGTAAAGACTGCAGCCTTGCCAGTGAGGTATATCCCGGCGTAGCGAAGGGCAAGGAGCCGGTGGTCTATCCTTGGATGAAAAAGGTCCACGTTAGCACCGGTGAGTTATCGTCACGGTTAAATAGCAGAACCACTGAGAAACAACCACTGGAACACACGCAAGCCTATTGAGGCAGTACTAGTAGCAGCCCTTACAACAGCAATTTACGACTATCGAGCAGCAGGGTCGGTAATTAAGGACCCTCGTAAATTTTATTGCCTATGTTCGTCTGTCGGGGCCATGTGCCTTTGTTGCTTTTTAACCCAAACTACCTCCACCACTGGAGCCGAGCCAAACTGTAATATCCAACCCCGCTGTTTTGTTAATCATTTCTAAGCTTGATCTGTCCCTGGATGCGAGTGCTTGTTCACTCGGCATCTCCACATTAAGGTCATGTCCGTAAACTGAAACAAGACAGAGAATAAAACAAACAGAGCGGCTGCGATTTCCCACCAGATCCAGAAATGTTTTATAGTTTTCCAGCCATGTAATGCGTCCAGTGGAGGGACTATATGGGTTTGGAATAAACGCTATCAGCCTGCATGTAACACCTGCTTGCTTGCCTGTGTATGGCTTTTTCCCCCCCTCCAGTCAGTGCCAGTTACAATGGAGGAGTGCCCAAGAGGTCCCGCACTGCCTACACCCGCCAGCAGGCTCTGGAGCTGGAGAAGGAGTTCCACTTCAACCGGTACCTGACCCGGCGCAGGCGGGTGGAGATTGCACATACCATGTGTCTGTCCGAGCGCCAGGTCAAGATCTGGTTTCAGAACCGGAGGATGAAGTGGAAGAAGGAGCACAAGCTTCCCAACACCAAGATCCGCTCCTCCAGCTCGGCCTCGTCCTCAGCCTCGGGGGCCCAGCAGCAGCAGCAGCAGATCAAAACAGGCCAGCAGCTTGTCCCCACGCCGTGCACCGCAGGTCTATAGTGCATGAACGAACCCCAACCCCATAAAAACCCCAATCCAGACTGAGATGGCAAATAACACAAGTGGAATTTGTTGGACCGATTCTCAGTATTTTACACACATGGTGTTCTCTCTTTCACCTTGCCTCTGCCATTGGGCCCCTGTCACGTCCTTTGTACCCTTTCCCTCTCCGGTCGTCCTCGCCCTCTTCATATAAGCTTGAAATTCACCTCTAATTGCCACGGTGGCAACTGAAGTGTTTATATATTTGTTTATTATTATGAAAGAAGGATTACGCACACTCAAAACGTAGGACTTGGATCAAAAATGTATCATTACAGTTAAAATTGAGTGAGGTAAAAGTAAGTTTGAACTCATTTTTCTATGTTCTGTTTGATTATTGTTCTTCTGTTTTGTATTATTGCTCATGGAAAGTTCTAATATACTTGAAAGATATTTAGCGAGACTCTATAGATGCCTGTGTAGAAAACCAGACGGCTGTTTTAGAGGTATGGCATCAGTCAGAATAACAGTGTAGTTTGTGTGTTTGAGTGGGTTGGTTTACTGTTGAATGTAGTCCAGGTGACTTTCACATTTAATGTACATAGACAAATCATAATGAAGGCACAATAAGCAAAGCATTTCGTCAAGTAGAATTATGTTCGTTGGTGTTGTAAGGTCTAGTTTTATTTGTGCTATAGTGCGTCCCATGTTGTGCTGTGTTCTAAACTGTGAATATTTGTATGTGGTGTCTCAGTAATGACCGTTGTGATGTAGGCTAGTGTAGGATCAAATTGTCCCTGTGAAATAAATATGTACTTCACTTATAAGGCTGACATGGCTTTGGATATTTTCTAAATGCAAATACTGATTTGATTTGAGCGCAACATGTTTTCTTAAAGCCGTGCGTATTAACATGACCTTTATGTATTTATTATTTGATGCATTCCTGATTTTAGGAATTCCAATTTCAAACCCAAACGATATAATTTCGTGCTGTTTATTTTAATTTCATTAGTTGGTCTTTGAATTTTTTTTTATTTTCTTTTAGAACTTTTATTTGAAGCATTTGAATCACTTCCACATTTTTGGAGATGCGTGCGTAAAACCGTGATAACGTGTCTGACCAGTGGATAATTTACTGCGCTACACTTGAAAATGACTTCATAGATCTTTTTGACTTTATCTGAATAGGATAAAAGACAGTTTACAATATTTTATGGCATGTGTAGAGATGATTTGAACTTGTTAATCAGGGCGTAAAGTTGCGCAATTTCTCTTAAGATAAGATTTATACTGAGGGGAAACATTTCCAGCAATGATTATGTGCGATCTTTTCAGAATTAAGTCTTTTCTAAGAAATGTATCCCCATGTGCAATACACTGCAGGAAGAGTGTTCATATGCTAGATTCCATTTTGTATTTCAGTTCTCAACTGGCTGAAATTCTAATCCGTAAAATGTGCATGAACGTCACGCGCATTTTCGTGGATTTAAATCAGAAGTTGTACAAATATATGAGGCAGGGATCAGCTGTTGGCCTTAAATGTTGCAAGCCTTGCTACTGACACGGGAATTAGACCAAACCCAAATTGTTAAATGTATCCGGCCACACATATTGTTCTTACTTTCCATTGCAGGGAGATCTCTGCTAACCTCAGTGCACCAGAGTGTGAGTGTTGGTCACTACCTGCTACATCCAAACAATAGAGAGTTCAACCAGGGGACACCGTCGGCTCTGGCCAATCACCGGCTCAGAGCACTCCTTCTGACCCCTGACCTCTCGACACACACAATGTTCAGACCATACATCAGCTCTGAGACCTCCGCGAGCTTTTTTTTTTCTTCTCATTTTAGAGATTTACCCCGAGACAGCACGGAAACAAAAACTGTGTTTAGGTGTGAATCCCAGCCATGAATTTCCCCCAAATTATTCTTAGAGACAGCTCCTCTGCAATTCATCACAGAAACACCCCTGTCAGAGCGCGTAGAGGGGGCAGATATGAACAGAAGCATGCTGCTATTGTGCACGTAATTCAGTGTGATTTTCAATATGCTTTGGCACGGATGTCTTCTTCACAATATTTATGCCAGTAATGGCGTAATAAATGGATTTACAATGCATTTAATCGTAAATTAGATAAAAACTGACATTCACCAAAATCCCCAAAGTAAAATCCACAGACTGACACGACCCACATCTTGTGGTTTTGTAGTATTTTTTAGTGCATGTCAATAAATTTATTAACATATACCTGCATATCTAAAATGAAGATGACATAATTTGCTGCAGAAACGTTAAAGCCAAAGCTCTTGAGCTCTGTGCAGCCCTCGCTGCAGACATGGCAGCTGTGCAGAAGATGGCGTTGAGGCTGATTGGCACCAGTTTTGCGCAGACTCCAAGAAGTCGAACTAGTTCAATTACAGATTTCAAGTCATTTGATTCGCGAATAGAGGTCACTTCCAATGTACTGAAATTTTAATTCGCCCGTTCACGTGACTTGTTGAATAATGAATGCCCCGGGGTCAGAAATAGATCTGAAAATCTGCCTTATTTTCATTTGAAGTGATCCTCTGCAGGGTGCGAGTCACATCTCTTCTCCCCTGACACAACTCTGTCTGCTGGACACAGACCGTCATGACTTGTGAGTAGATTTGGCTGATTTTCTCCTTTTATTTATTTTTATTTTTTTAACAATGTATAAAATGTCCCAGAGGTGGAGTTGTATCATAATCCTGCGGCACATATTCATGGAAATTGTAACATGTATTGTAATATGATCTCTTTATTCGTTATTCTGAGGTTGCTGAAGTCATATTGAGTTTATTATTAAACTCAGATAATCTAGTTTCTCTAATTTTATTGCCAAACATTTTAACTTTATTACACACGCGGATGTATTTTGTGCTGAAACATTGTGTCTTAAACATAATTTAACCTTGTATCACAGAATAAATATGATGTATGACAGCAGCTCTAATTTCTTATAAATTCTTAAATCTTTGAAACCAAGACAACAATCAAGACGATAACACTCCACCTGCATTCATGAGACAAAGCAAGTGTGCAACTTAGTTTAAAATGAAGTGACACTACACTACAGATGTGGCTGCAGTGGTGAAATGTAATAAATGTGCAGCTGGAATTATTGTAGTCACTTAAAACTGACATAAATAATAATAAAAAGAAACAGTGTGCAGCTATGTTGGCAGGGTTTATTTCCAAAATGACTAGGTTCTCAAAGATGCAAAAAAAACAAAAAAAAAGCTTAATAGCTGTCTCTATGAATTCTGTCAGTGAAAATGTGATTATTTATTTATTACCTGATATATTCATAAACGACAGACAATGTATTTAAACAACAGGAACAATGAAGATGACTCATCTGTTGCTTCTAAAAGTTGTCAGGACAACTCAGAATGAAAGAGACTTTCAATGGGAATGAACACAATGGCCAATCGACACAGGTTAAACATTAACATTAAGTTTTTAGGCTATGTAAAAATGCTTATCATTATTATTATTATTATTATTATTATTATTATTATTATTATTATTATTATTATTATTATTATTATTATTATTATTATTATTATTATTATTATTATTATTATTATTATTATTATTATTATTATTATTATTATTACTATTATGTTATCAATATTATATTGTATTATTAGACCTATTATAAGTAGTATTATTAATAGTGTTGTTGTTATTATTAATTCCCTATTTTGCACTTACCTTCAAAATTTAGCTATTGCACAAAACCCTATTAAAAATGATCTGGGAACAGTGACAAAGAGCCAGTAAATTCAACATTAAAATTCAAAATGTTTTTATTACAACCACCTATGTGAGCACAAATCCCCTAGTCTTAGTCCTCCGTCCCAGTGCTGCTCTGCGTCCATGAGAGATGGCTCCAGTCAGCTTAAGGCGTTGAATTTCGCATTAGCCTTGATGTTGGCCGGTGTAAACCTCGCAGAAAGAGTTATCTTCAGCTGAATGTATCGGTAACCGAAGCTTGGCTGTTAAGAGCTCCGAGTGTCAACAATGTGGGAAGATATGGACCCGCCGTCTGGCCAACATCCAGAGGTCTGCGCCTCTAACTCCTCCTCGCTGACAGTGATAAGGAGCCTTGATTTGTGTAAATAACTGAAACATTTGTTTTATGCAAAAGCAGATGAGATTTAAAAACATGATCAATCAACTTCTACGTCTACTACTTTTGTGCAAAGGGCAAGTTTGGGGGGGAAAAAAAGCAGCAAAACTTGAAAAAAAAAAATAGGCTACCAGCTGAGGGCCTTCGATTTACGTCTTCTCCTTGTTTTTGTACGCAAAATGACATCCCACTCGACTCTGGATGCCTCTGCCCGGGTCAGGGAAAAGTTCAGGTGTGGTGGCGAAAGGCAAGGTTGGATCAGCCTCCAGTGCACGGTCATGTCGAGCCATATAATCCTGTGACAGCTCTGCATCTGTAGAAGCACAAAGAGAGAACAAAACAACATGTTAAAGACATTCCAACATTCTGTTTAAATAATTATAACCATGCGTCTAAAAGCTGTGCTTAAAAGTTCCCCTGTAGCCCTCAGCATTTATATTCCTCCTCTTCAGTTTTTGGAGGTGTTGAAGGTGAATTAATAAGAGCTGCTCTGCTTCTGTTCCTGTCTTTAAAAGTTTACCGCTCAAGTTGTAGTTTGAGAAGACAAAGGCTGGTGTGGGAGTGGGATGCTGTCCATGTCCGCCCCGAATGATTAATAGTCGTGGTGGGATTTTTCCACGCCCGCTGCTCGGTGTTGACGGAAAACAAGCGCCAAACGGTGCCGAGGAGAGAGAAGCTCTTCCGGGCTAGGGCTTTTGGCAATACCTGGAGTGGCTGAAGCCAGGAGTCTACCATGGCGCACGCGTGGCACACTCTATTAGATAGTGATTGGTTTATATTATTATGGTAAACCACTGTAGGATTATGGCTTAGTCGACACTTTTGCCAGCCCATCCTCCCCCACCCCTCTCCAAAAGCTCCAAAACTCTTCCTTTGCACAAACCTGTAATTTCTGCCATCACTCAGTTGGTCATAGGAAACGCGTAAGCGCATGTAGGTCTAATGGGGGTCCATGTACTGATCAGTGGGGTCGAGCAGCCACTCTTAGGTTACCTCACCTCCACTTTCCGCTCACTGCTGACTGACACGCACCCCTCACGACCACCAGGACTCACACCCTCCGTGTGTAGGACAGGTAAATGCGTGACGTTTTGTTTCAGTTTAGCCAGCAGCAGCAGCATGCAGGCTTTTGCTGATGGAGAATCAGAGGCTGAGTAAGTGGTACTACAGCCGAGGTCTGACAATGAGGACGGGGGGGCGATATTGAGTTGAGTTCTCTGTAATGCACTCCACAACCCCGGCTGTGCTGTGGAGAGAAAGGAGAGGAGGTTTATTGGTGTGATGAGTAACCATTATGTCACCATTAAGTGGTATTTTGTAGGGAAAGCTCTCTCATTCTCACATAGTGCGAATTGTCACGCTGCAGTGTGAAACACTCTGGTTTTAGCCTGGCTCAGAGCCGCGGCTGCACTTGAAACTCAGCATAATACAGCAGGATTAGCTCTTTCAGCCGCTAACAGGCACCAAATATATGGCACTTTAAAACTGACAGAACAGTCTTTCCCTCTGAATGGGCGACACGTGGAAAAGCTGCTTCTCTGCGAGAGACTTGCTCCTCTGCCAGATACATTGCAGTGTCACATACCCCTCTTTTTTCTCCCTCCAAACTGATCTGTTTCTCCTCAGGGGCAATGACTGCCTCCATTAATGATTCACGGGCTCAAATAAAAGGGATTTAAGTTGACGTTGCGTCACGTGAGCGGGGCGCATAATACTGCGCGGTGTTATGGCACGGGGAAGAAAACCGGAGCCCCGGTCTGGCCATATGATGCTGATTATATGCGGGTTACCCCCACTTTCCGTGAGGGGAGTCCGGGCTGTGTAGTTTGTTTATCGAGGGGAGAAAAAAGAAAAGAGAGGCAGACTGAAAGACAGAGGATTCCGGGTTTGTGGATGTATTATACTGCTGTCACGGACGGATATGTTTTTCCACGCGGACAGAGTCAGAGCCCGAGCTTTGGGAGGATGGATTTTATTTTGAGGTATTTCCGCCGATTGTTCATTACTGTCGTGAGTTATTGCTGCGCGAGGCAGAGGTCAGTAAAAAGGGTCCAGGGTTTTCGCAGGGCAGAAATAGACAGGTAGAACGAGGCTATCGATATTCTACTATCTGTTATTAGCCCAGATTCATCATAGTGAATGGAGCGAATCATAAATTGGCCTATATAGAATGTACACACACTATATATAGGTGAAGATTTAAGGACTTGTCTGGGCCATTAAGATGGAGGCATTGTTCCATTTCATGCTTCATATGCTATAGCATTACAATAAACCCATTATTAGTTTCTTATTTCTGCTGTGATCACATATTTAATATCACTAGCAGCTGTTTGGATAAATAGGCCTAAGCGTTTGTAAATAAAGCGGCCATTTAAATATCGGCACCCAAGAAAAAAAAAACCCAAACAGAGCGCGCTGCCGCTTCAAGGTGCAACCTGTCCTATAAAACAAACATCTTGTGTCTGAACGTGGGGGTTGTTTGTGCGCAAATGGTACATCAAGATGGGCTCCATAAAAAAAAGTAGGGGAAAGCGGTGGGGTTGTGTCGCTCCGCCAGGGAAACGAGGATATAATGGAAGACAGAGTGCCATCCAGGACCGCGCGGCCGCGCTGAGGTCACGGCGCTCCAGCTTGATTTATGGGCACGGGGACTTGGGGAAGATGGTGCGCGAGAGCTAATGACTATTCGATCCGTTTGTGGAGAAAATGCTCACCGGCCAGCAGGGAAACAACAAACACGTTATTTGCATAGGCCCATTTTAATGTTTTTAATGATATTACGCTGATAAGCCTCGATATTCGGCTTTGGTGTTGTTTTTCTCCCAGTATAATCTTTGCACCATGATATGAATTCATGGATTCTCTTCATTTGTGTTTGGCTTGTCTCGTGTTTTCTGAGGATTAATTTGTTGGGTGACATTTAGTTGCTAAATCTTAAAACGGATCTAGTTTTTTACGTTTCCTCGAAGCTGTGAATGTCAATTAAATACAAATACTTGCAGCATGTTGTTAAATCTAAATTTCCATCCAAATTATTATATTAAAAATACTTGCATCGAATTTCACCTGATTTAGGTTAGCCTATTTTCTATAGACGTTTCTTTCTGCGCCATTTTAATACAAGGCCCAAACAATTACGCACAATAACATCAGCTTTGATTCGTATAATCACATTTTCCAACTGGGCTGTTTGAAAAAAAAATTCACAATCATATGTTTCAAAGAACACTTTAAAAAAGGTTGTATTATCTTCTGAGAATTTGAAAAATATTTATTCCACTCCTCGTTGCAGAAATCCAGCCAAGTAAATTCAGGCCATCGCGAGGTCTCCGAGACACCTTGAACTGCCTTCGGTAAGTCCATACATCTTTATTGATTTGTGTTATGAATGCTTGATGGTGATATCCGTATTCAATTTCTAATAAGTACCACACACGCCCACCAAAGCACTCGCAGGGGTAGAGAAGCAGCCCGTGGCTTGTACATTTCCTCGCAGCAGCAATACGAGCAGCCCGTGAGCAATAATTCCTTCTCTTCCACTTGTCTTTGTGGTGTAATTTGTCACTATAAAAGTGACGAGGGGAATCGCAGCTCTTGGAGCGGTGCCTTACTCCTTTCAAAAAGCACTTTCTGTGGAAGCCATCTGCTTGGAGCCGCTGTAGTTTACTGCAATGAACTTTTCAAAATGTTTTTTTCTTTCATCAACATTTAAAAAACATTTTTTTTCTTTCTTTCTCCCACATCATTTGTATGAAGCAGGGCAGCAGCACCAGCACCTCACTGACATTTAACCCCTCTGCACGGGGCCAAATTAAAGAGAGAGACGAATCAGCATTTTAGTAAAACACAAAGAAGTAAATAATTATACAAAGTGACTGCTCCAGTCTGGAAAAGAAAAAGCCGAGTTGGCTAAAAAAAAAAATCCTCACGCGTGAATTTTTGTCCCACTCACCCTCCCACGCCGTCCGTGTCTTCCATCTTTTTTTTTCTTTTTTTTTTAAATTGTCATTGAATTTTGTCTCAGAGCCTGGAACCAGCAGAGAAGCTGCAGCTCTGGACGTGTTTACAGCCCATAAGAAGCTGAGAGGACATTATTATTTTTTTGTTCATTCTTTCTTTTTGGCTGCAAACGCCAGTATTGCCATGCAGAGGGATTCCCCTGCTGCCGGCTCCCCTCTCCCCTGCTCCTCGCTGCATGTCCTCCGCTTTGCCCTTTGGTGATGAAACTTCTTCCCATTTTTCACATCCTGCTCCTGGTGGGATTTTCCCTTGATATACTTCGAACACGGCTTTGATCTGAGGTTGTTGAGCTTTCTAATCTTTAAAGAAAAACAAAACAAAACAAAAAAAAAACATATGTTGTATTCTTCACACAAGAAGCCAAGCAGGCAGTGGAGTAACAACCTGGCGCAGAAGTGCAAACGAATTGCGCGTTCTTGTGCCAAAAGATTGAGGAGCATATGCAAAAAATGCGGGTTAATGATTAAGCTGTGGATAGAAGCCCTTTATGTCCCATGGAAATGGAAAAGCAGCGTGCTCAGCGCCTGATTATTCCTTTGTATTCTCCCTTCTCTCCAACATCTCATCCACTGGGCTCATAATTCCACTGCAGGACATGGAGTAAATAATAACAAAAAAAAAAAAAAAAGATTTAAAACACTTTAGGGATGGACTTCCATGCTATTTGTAACGATGTATTTTTTTTTCTAGACACGCTGCCTCATTTGGTTGGGGGAGGAGGAGAGGCAGCCACTTGATTTGAACTGGCTTTCCAAGGCGCTACTTCATTTGCATAATTTTTCTTGTCTATGGTGACGCTCTGGTTCGGGGCAGTTCACTGGTGTCTGCATGGTACTGGTGAAGGATCACATAGTCCAGTATAGCCTTGGCTGAGTTTAATATTGGTATGAAGCCCTGGCCATTGCTCTATAGCATGACGATAAATTCAATCTTGGGGCCAGATAACTCTTATCTCGCTGACCTGACTGCTCACGCCTGCTTTCGTAATCTCGGTTTACCCATCCACGTCGAGTAGGAAAAAAAGAAAAGGAAAAAAGGAAAGGGGTTTCTCTCTGCTCTTCCTTTTTTTGTTGTGGCTGCTAATGCCTGGTTGTATGGCAGGGCGCAGTCTGCTGCTGCCTCTGCTGCTGCTTCACCCAGCCAGCCCTGCCTTTAAACTTTTCTCTGGATTACTGCTTTGATCGATTTCGTCGCTGAATGAGAAAATATTGCTCGGTGCTCTGCATTCGTCGTCAGAGGATAAGGTAAGCAGGCCAGAAATAGGCTCCCTCGGTTGTAAATGGCGGAGTTTGTGTGTCGCGCGGTGATTTATCACCGTATGACTTAGATCTCGGTTCAGGAAGAGTTCACACACACAGTCAGGCAGCCAGATTTCTCTAACGTGGAGCAGAGGGCTGCGCGCACAGCTCAAGTCTGTCTTTTGTCTCTCTTTCTCTGCCATTTATGACTTTCGCAATGGCTCGCCTGGAGATACACACCACACTGCTTTCTGATATCTTTTCCAGGTCATCATGAGAGCAGATACAGTGAAGACACCTTCTTTCAGTCTGCGGTTTAGCTGCGTTGAGATCAAGCTGAGGGCTCATTTTAGACTGATTTGCTTGCTTGTTTTGCCCGCCTGCACAAACCCAGTGTTATTTCGACATTTATTTTCCTTTCACTTCACCTTCTGCTCATTTTATGAAAATACATAGTAGTTTAGCCCGTGTGTCTGCTCTTTGGCTTTCATACAACTATGGACCATGAAATAAACAAGTAACATTTTTATTGCTGGCTACAGCCCTAACATCGTTATTGTTGGGCTCAGGTTTTACTATCAGACACAACGCCAGGGCCTTTTAGCTCCAGCAGTTAAAATGTGAAGTTATAGGTTTGCAGTCAGTTTAGATTGTATTTTTTATTTTTTATTTTTTATAAATGTTATTTTTCTATCTGCTCCCCTGTTTGGGGCGACGGGCAGTGCAGAGTGCAGACAAAAGAACTGCATGATTTCAGAAGCAAATGACTAATGAACAGGATGACCTTTCATTTGTAATGAGAATTATTTACTTTTATTTAAAACTATTGCTTATTATAATTGTTATTACTATTATTATTATTATTATCATTTTTATTATTTTTCTTATTACTAATATGCATTGTATTTTGCTATTTTTCGTGACTTTGGTTAAAACACATGAATTATTTCATTGGTAGGTCACATTATAAAAGATAAGCAAAGTGACCTGTGGCTTTGTGGCTACTATGGTTTATAGTTTCCTCAGTAATCTGTTAGAGGCGGATCCCCATGGTTACCTGCGTGAGTTATGGTGCTTTTAGCAGCAGGCTCTGGGTGTGCCATCCCCGGGTCTCTGTCCGCCTTGGCGTACAGCTCACCGGGTTTGGCTGCTCACCGGGTCGCTCACTCAGTGCAAGCCGTACCGGCCCACTGACCCTCTCCATATATCACCGCGACGGGCCGCCGCGCGGACAGCACCGACAGCAGTCATTATTATGGGGCCTGCAAGGAAAAGTTCACACTGTGGTCATGGAGATACACGAATGCCCGCCCGGTTTTTCAGGTTTCCTCGTGCCCCTTCCATTCATCTTGCAGCACGCAAAGAACAAAAAAAAAAAAAAGAAGAGAATGCGGTTGTTTATGTTTTGCACCAGGTGGCTTTTACTGAAGGAGGCTGATTTTTAGCTAATAATAAAAAAAACAAAAATAGCGTTAAACTTTCGTGAGCCACGGGGAATGTTTTCATCTGCTACCAGGAAATCAGATCCACTGTTGACAGCCCTTTGGTAGAATAACAATGTAACAGAAATGTTATATTCCTGTGTGGTAACCCGCTAATAAGCTTCTCCTACAGCTCCCTTTCTTACCCACAGCTTTTTCTCCACAAGTTTTGCTGTAACTGTGTATTCACTTTCATTGTTAATAGGCTCAGAGCTTTAAAATGTCATGCAGTTTCTTGTTAGGTCCTAAAATTGATTTGGCAATCTGAAATGCTTTTGTAAAGGTTTTTTTGTTTTGATGTTGTTTGGCACAGATGGTAATACAAGGTTAGTGCGTGCCTTTGTGCCCTGTGTAAGCCATAAGGTAAACGGTAATAGTCTACAGGACTGTTGGCCCTATCTTGCCTCCATAGTCTCCAGTGTCAGGCCTGTATTGAAAAGTAAGATGGATCGCCACCATTTCTTCTCCTCACAGTGCTTCTTGTAACCCTAGGTTCACCCGAGGAGGCCATTGGCGGAGAGGCGTCACGTGACCACGGGGTGCCAATGTTATTCTACAAGGGTGTCAAGACCCTGTCAGTTTCTGAAATAAATATTGGGAAACGGCGAGATGCAAAAGGCAACCTACTACGACAGCTCCGCAATTTACAGTGGCTACCCATATCAAAGCGCAAATGGCTTCAGTTATGATGCCAATCAGGTCCAATATCCCCGGGCCTCTCATGTGGAAAGTGAGTACCATCGACCTGCCTGCTCCCTGCAGTCTCCTGACGGCTCCGTGGCGCTGCAGAAGCCGGGGGAGATGGCGGAGAGCTGCGACAGGACCACAGCCATTCAGGCGGCGCAGTCTAAGGTTCATCCCGAAAGCAATCAACCGCAGGTGCCGGTGTCAGGCCCACCCCCTCCCTCACAATCCCCCGGTGCTATCAGCCAAAACACGAGCAACGGGTCCAACCAGCCCAGTGCCAAGAACGGCTCCCCGACCTCTGGCGCTCGCAAACAGATCTTCCCCTGGATGAAGGAATCCCGTCAGAACACCAAGCAGAAACCCACCAGTAGCTCCAGTTCAGGTACTTCCAACCTAAACCTGCTGACAACACCAGACACACACACACACACACACACACACACACACACACACACACACACACACACACACACAACAAGATAGCCTCTGACCACAAAGTTACATAAGTTTTGTTGAGGGAGGACACACAGACATAGAGGGTGTGGGTGGGTGGGTGTTCAGGTAAGGGGTTAAGATAGACGGGTGGGCAGAGTGCAACAGGACAAAACTGTGCCTGGACAGGTTATATTTTTTAGGTGCCAATGTCAGAGAGGTGGTAATTTATCTTTAAATCAGTGGCTTGTGGTTTTATAATATTGTATTTATATTTTAGTTCATTTCGTAGGCTCCTAAAGTTATTCACAAAAAACAAACCCACAGTTTAATCAACTCCTCCACCACACATCTCAGGGTATAGAGTATCCACATTATATATTTAAAGGGAATGATTTCTCCTCTAAATGATACCCCATAACATGATTTACTGTAAATATACTATAAGGTTGTAGACTGTAGAAGAATCACGTGCCTCAACATTGGAAGTAGATTCCACCATTTGTTGTCCCTGTGCCCTGCAGCTGACCTGTCCCTACTGTAAACACGCATCTCCACTGATCACATAATGTTCCCGCAGGGACAACAAACAAACACGCACAACAGTTGTTCAGTTTGTCCTGCTGTTTTTATTAGAGCGAAGCTTGGTGGGTCCGAGTGTGGGGGGGTGGGGGTGGGGTGGTCGTGGGGTGTTTGGGTGTGTTTATTTACATAGAACAAAACCGAGCTAAATAAAAAATGTAGAAATGGTCATTTCCCATGACCTTCTTATTTTGTAAATGGTGTGGGTAATATTTCAATTAAGGTGCAGGTAGAAATGCAAAGTCATGTGGCTTCATTTTGATTTATGTTTGTGGAGGGCGTTTTCTTTAGTTTTTAACAACCCGTTAAAGTGCTAACATTTATGGAGGGCCATTTACGCACGTTTTACGCACGTACGCAAACCAGACCCTGCTGTTTTGAAGAGAGGAAAACTTGGTGGGTGAAGGTGGGGAGGTTGTGTTTTGGGGTTTTTATTAGAACCAACCTAAAAAATCAAGACATGCTCATCTTCCAGTTACCTTTTTGTTTTTTTTGTTTGTTTGTTGTTGTTGTTTTTAAATAACTGAAGTTGGTAATTCTCTAATCATTATCCAGGTAGTTTCGTGCAGTAAAAGTTGAAACTCCAAAGAAAGGTGGCGACTTTCATTTAATTATTTCAAGAGTCGTGTTTAGGGAAGGTTTGGGTTAGTTTTTGACAACAGGTCGAGTTGCTAACATGTATGGAAACCCTTTTACGCATGTTAGCGATCCACATCCTGCTGTTGAACTGGAGGAAAACTTTGTGTGTCAGGGTTTGGGGGGTATTTACTGACCAAAAAAATCACAGTTGACACATTATGTTTGTATTTTGTAAATTACTTTGGCATTTTAGGTAGTTGTCTACAGTAAGAACTACAAATATGAAGCAAAATGGTGCCCCTTACTGTGATTTATGTTGGGATGGTGTTTTTAACGGTTTGAAAAGTGCTACCATTTATGAAAGGCCCTTTACGCACGTTTTACGCACATTCTGCTGTTTTGATTCGAGGAAAACTTGGACAGTTCAGATGAGTGGGGGTTGTGTTTATTTACACAAAGCCAATCCAAAGATTAAGAGATGCTCATTTCCCATGTCCCTCTCATTTTGTTTAATATTAGTGTCCTAACTAAGTTATAGGTTAGTGCAGAAATGCAAAGCAGTGTCCGTGTGATTTATGTCTGGGAAAGTGTTTTCATTCGCTTTAACAACACATGTATGAAAAGACTTTTACGCACGTGCCAATAATCCTGCACGTTTCCCGATTCAGTCTATTTTATAAACCACAACAATTAGAAAATGAATTCATAAATAATATCGCAATAATTATTATCATTACATATGGGTATCCCTCCCATGCCACGCGCTAACTCTTTCGTCTCTGTAATAACCTAATGGGGCTGGATATGTCATGCTGCATTCCTTTTGCTCCCTGTCTGGGCGGCAGGTAGTGAAATTTATTAAGTGTTGGCCGTGTGCCACGGCGGTAAATAGACCAACACCTTGCTATTCTGCAGCCAAGCTCCAGCTCCTCTTGGAAGAGGGGAGGCTTATCAGCGAGGTGAAGGCGAGCTGCTTTATACACTCCGAGGAATACATAATGCTTGTGTTTGCATTACGCGTGTGCTACTGTGTGACTACGGGTGAAGATGAGGGTCAAAATGTTTTAGTAGGAAATCTGAGGTTACCTGGTCGCATATCAGATATTGACCCAGTGTTCTCCAGTTACTTTTTTCCCTTTGTGGTTAGTGTAGCGTGCACACAGGCGCAGTGTCCATACATTGATTGTTAATTGTCTTATGGAGCCCTGGTGATAACCCTTGTGCTTGGTACTTGGGAGCAGATTTATCAAAATGTTGAGATGTTTGCAACACATACAGTACGCGCACACACACACGCGCACGTTAAGAAAAACAAGGGGGGGGGGTGGATGAAAATTCCTCCTTAAGTGGTGGAGCAGGGCATATTTATCTAGTAAACTGTTCCCCACCCCCTCTTGATGGTGGTGGAGAGTTTTGTTATCAGCTGTGTGCGTGTTGTCACGAGGTTTTGCTTCCACTCTCACTTTCCAGTCTCTGCCTCTGTACCTCTCTCTCTCTCTCTCCCACTCTGTCTGTCTGTAATGGATTACTGATTGACATCCTCCTCTCCTCCTCTCTGACAGTGGAGAGTTGCCCCGGAGACAAGAGTCCTCCGGGGTCAGCAGCATCGAAGAGGGCCCGGACAGCTTACACCAGCGCCCAGCTAGTGGAGCTGGAGAAGGAGTTCCACTTTAACCGGTACCTGTGCAGACCCCGGAGGGTGGAGATGGCCAACCTGCTCAACCTCACCGAGAGACAGATCAAAATCTGGTTCCAGAACCGCAGGATGAAATACAAGAAGGATCAGAAAGGCGTCGGAATGATGCCTTCCCCTGGCGGACAGTCCCCGCGGAGTCCCGTGGGCCCGGCCTCCGGTGGTGGCGGCGGTGGAGGAGGCGGAGGATACCTCAACTCTATGCATTCTCTTGTAAACAGTGTACCTTATGAATCCCAGTCGCCGACGTCTTACAATAAACCTCATCAAAATGCATACGGTATGGCCACGTCATATCCCCCTCCTTTGAACAGCTCCCTCAACAACTGCCCGCCCTCCCAGAAGAGGTATCCCGGGACCGACTCGGCCACGCCCGAGTATGACGCGCATCCTCTCCAAGGCAATGGCAACTACGGGACGCACATGCAGGGCAGCCCCGTTTATGTCGGCGGAGGTTACATCGACTCAATGCCCAATTCTGGGGCCTCTGTTTTCGGTCTGACCCACCTCCCGCACCCGCCGTCCGCGAACATGGACTACAATGGAGCAATCACAATGGGCAACAGTCAGCATCACGGAGTGTGTGATCCGACACCGACGTACACAGACCTAACGCCGCACTACTCTCAGGGAAGAATCCAGGAAGCGCCTAAACTGACGCATCTGTAGCGGTGGCGCTGCCCGGATCACTCCGCCCATTGTCTTACCCACCTCCAGACACATTACTGCTTTGTTTCTGCGCCTCCTCACGGCTTCCACCTTCTCTCTGCTTTTGTTTATGTTTTCTATAGTTTGATGTGTGAAGTAGCGTAGGATAAATAATCACGACTTGCTTGAATTTTTCTCTATTTGCTCGTGTCATTGTCTCACAAAGACCTTTATCTGGGCTGTAGGACGTCTAGTGCGGGAGGGAGGGGGGCACACTATATGCATAGGCCTATTTAATCTTTTTTTTTTTTAAATCTTGTTTTAATATTGACACTCAAACAGGGTATTATGAACGTATGTTATTCATTTTAATGTGAATTTGTCCGTCTTTTATTTATCCGCAGTTGAAGAATTGTGTTTTGCATTTTGTTGCACTTGTGAAGCCACGAGCTTGGATTATGAGGGAAAAAAAATATTTTTCAAAAAACAAGGGTCATGAGCTAACACGCAACCTCCCTTGCTTGTGTTTTGTTCTATTGGACTTTCTGATGTTATTTATTTTTGTTTTGGTGTAAAGATAAAATAGTCCTTTAGTATTATTTGACACCCCTGCCATCTTTGTGTGGGGAGAAGGTTGGTGCATATTAGCGTCTCGGCCCTTTTCCAGCCCCATACATGTAGTCTACTCTGCACAAGCTCCCAGCAGCAGCAGCAGCAGCAGCTCACCATGTTGCTATTATAGCCTATGTTTCCATATTTTTTCTTCTTCTTCTTCGAGGAGGTGTTTTATTTTCCCAGCGAATGTAAAGTCAATCAGTCATTGCAATAAGGGTGGAAAGAAGGACACACGTTAGCAGTTTCTTTATTGAAGAAAAAAAAGAAACAGACATCATCAAATTTTTTTTCTCGATGTCATACATTCCATGCTGCTCCAGTTCGAAGAAATAAATAAAAGAATTGAAATATAATTGTAGCACATCCTCCTTTTAATTTAGACACATCAGAGGCATTTCACAGAACTACATTAAATACAAGGCAGCTTCTTAAATAAAACAAATATGAAAAATTTACTTCTAATTTTTCTATTATTACATTTTATTATTGTGATAAATTTCATGATGAGGAGGTGATAACATAAAAGTAAAAAATGCATTTTAAACAACTGGCAGTATATTAGAAGCATAATAAAAATAATACTAATGAACCATGGGTGATAATTAGTAAATATATGTGTTTATTATCCATGCATACAAAATGATGAGGAATCATTGGCCATAATTAATATTCAACAACATAAAAAAAAAGGAATTGGCCGCTGATGGAGTCAAATACGCGGAAAAAGCTACTTGATTTTTGTCTCCCTCCTCTTGACTCCACGTGAAGAAAACTCTCGGGTGGCCTCCTCTTCTCCTCTCATCCATAATAATAAAAAATGTCACACGGGCCCTTCTGGAGATTCTGCAGGAAAGACAAACAAGCTAAATGAGAAATCGTTTGAAAAATAATTCCCTGATATGTTCAGTCAGTCAAATGCGGTCAGAGAGGATACAGGCTGAACTGGAGTCATAACGGGGGTTTCATTTGTCTCATTATTCTGCAGATTTGCAGATGGCAGCGTTCAGCAGCAAGCAGCACCTCGGTTATGAGGATGGTTAAAGTAAAGAAATGATCAGAGGAGAGATGGAAAACCGACCGTGTGTGTGTTTGGATTCCCTGAAAGGGTAGTACAGAAATTATGATACATTTTTTTAAAGTGTATTTGTATTCATTATTAGCAGCAATTTCCTAGTATATAAATGAATTTTTCAAAATTCAATTCAAACAAACATGGAGCTTAAATATTGTTTTGTAATTTACTAAAATTTTCTCGAGGGAAAAAGCTTTTTCTTTTTTCTTTTCTTTTTTTTTTTAAATTGAAGCATGCTTAGGGAGTTTTCTATCTCTCTTCTCAAATTAGCAAAAACCTTTTGTGCCATGTTCAGTATTTATGATTCTGTTATTATTTGTTCTCACTGATTTTGCAACAACAATTCATTTTCAGCCCGATATGATTGATATAAGAGGACGTGGACATTAGCAGCCCTGACATATGGTTAGCAGGGAAACCTAGAACAATTGAACCATGGTGTGTCAAAAAAAAAAAAAAAAGCTGATGCACTGAGCATTTCTGCATCCAACACAGACACACACACACACACAGACAAATACACGCGCACACACGCACACGCATGCACAGCAAGGCACTGATTTGACCCATATGCGCCATACACAGGTAGCACATAAATAACGTTTTAACCGAAAAAAAGGGGACGTGTATTTCTTTCATTGCGTTTCCATCCGTGGGAAAGTGCTCCTAAATCAATCCTGCTGTAAAGACAAGTGTGTAGGACAGGCTGGGGTCCACTAAATGCCGCCACCCACTCCTTTCCTTGCACACAAAGCCTGTGCGTAATTCCAAAAAAGCCATCCATCTCTTCCCCTAGCAACTCTGTCCTCCACCACACAGTCTGCTCCACGCACAGACCTGCATGTCCACCAAAAACTCACAAATACACGTCGGTGTGTAAATCGCACTCACAATTCAAAGATAAAAAAAAAAAAAAAGCCAGGTGGAGAAGCTGCTTCGCCATATACTCACCAATGGCGCATTATACACCTCCTCCTCAAAAAAGAGAGGAAATGGTCGCATCTTGAGAAGCTGGATTCTTATTTATCTTTTAAAACATCCCTCCAGCGACAGCCCGGACACAACTGTGAGCAGAAACTGGTTCTAATCTGAGTGGCCAGTGTTTCTCGCCGCTTCCTGGCTGCATTTGATCCGGGGGAGAGTTAGAAACCTTAAATGTGTTGTGAGGGCACCGAGCTGTCAGACCTTTTGGCGAGTAAGATTGATCGCGCACAGGCTTCCAAGACTCTTTGTTTGGAATATAAGCAACAAACTGAGAGAGGCCTACCACTTCTCTTCTTCCTCTCTCTTACTCACTAAGCCATACATTTTTCTTTTTTTTTTTTGAATGGAAATACAACATGTACACTGCTTGACGAAAAACATCCCAAATGGGGCTTTCACAGATTATTCTGGAAGAGCTATAAAACCAAACACTGCGGGGAAGAGCCATTCAATAACATTTCCATCTACATAATAACACTCCAAATGGATTCGTTGTAAATGGTCGATCGTAACCGTGTTGGTGTTCGCTTCATTGCAATTTCAGGTAGAAGGGGTCCAGCAGGAAGCCCTTCAGCAGTGTAGCTACTGTGCTCCCAGCAAACCCTGCCCCTGCCTCTTTACCATGAATATGAATATTAGGGTAGTTTAATTTAAAAAGGGGCAATAATTATGGCAATTTATGGTTATCGAATAATCCAACTATTAGCAATCACAAAACAAAGAGTGCCTGTGTGCCCAACCCAGTGTTTGTGGGTATGTGCACGCACATGGGCGCGCATGACCTCGTTATAAAATCGACCTTTTGTGGAATAAACGAAAATCCTTGTGTGTTTTAATATCATATCTACACAGCCCCCTTAAATAGCCTTTAATAATAACAGGCTAATAATAAAAAAAACAAAACAAAACAAAACAAAAAAAAAACCCAATGATTTTGAGTGCACGTGTTTGCGTGCTCGTGCGTCTATTTATAAGTTTGTGCAGTGCAGCTGTAAATGTTAAACTGCAGTTAGGGGATGAAATGGCCTGAACATGTCATATCCGTCAGTATTAACCTAATGGATGGGCTTTTTATTGCAACACATGTCAATGGATGCACTGCATATTTCATTGTTATGCACCTTTTGAGGAATCACATCTATTCTGGAGTCAGCACCCTCACTGAACAGGCTGGACTGTTGGGGTTTGTTTCTGTCGAGAAGTCTCAAAATCAGTTTTTGGTGTGTGTGTGTGTGTGTGTGTGTGTGTGTGTGTGTGTGTGTGTGTGTGTTTTCACCTCTGAAGTCTGGCTCTTGCCTATATGAATAGCTACTGGCGTGAAATCTCTGTGTGTGTCTGTGTGTGTGTGTGTGTGTGTGTGTGTGTGTGTGTGTGTGTGTGTGTGTGTGTGTGTGTGAGGTGGGGGCGTTCTCGACTGACATCCTCAAACAATACGAGAAAGAGGAGTGCACGAATCCGCGCGCACCCTAGGCTGGGCTCCTTCCCTGTAATAGTGAGCGTCAGCCATTCTTAAAAAACAGATTTTGTAGCTTAGTGGACTGGACTGGAGGGTGCGAGAGGAGGATAAACTGAGCGGACAAAGATGTAAATAAAAACAGTCGTCCCCCAGCTGAGCGAGGCGTTCTTCATCTGAGTTTTTGGATCAATCAGGCAGACAGTGGCTTCTTTTGATTAAACCCCAAATTGTCATTGGGCAGAGGTAATCATGTGACAGGCAATTCGGTCCAATTTCAACCTTGTCTCCATGAATTCAATAGTTTAATACTAGCTCGGTCCCCATACGGCCGTAATCAGTGATATAGAAAAAAAACACCACCACGAGGTTTTTTTAATGATTTTTTCCTCCTCGTCCTCACTGAGCCGCAACATTTATAAAAATACGCGTGCAAACTTTCCTCGGCTCTCAGGGAGCGGAGATGAATTACGAATTCGAGCGAGAGAGCGGTTTTATCAATAGTCAGCCGTCGCTTGCTGAGTGCCTGACATCTTTCCCCCCTGTCGCTGATTCATTTCAAAGTTCATCAATCAAGAGCTCGACGCTTTCACGCCCGACACTGATTCCTCCTCCCTTTGAGCAGACCATTCCCAGCCTGAACCCGGGCAGCCATCCGCGGCACGGCCGGCCCAGACACAGCCCCGACGGATGCAGCCAGCTGCCCACCGCCTCCTTACCCCCGGAGTACCCCTGGATGCGGGAGAAGAAAGCCTCCAAGAGGAACCACCTGCCAACCTCCACCGCGACCACCATTTCTAATGGACCCGTGTGCTTTTCTCCAAAAGGTGGGTGATTTCTGCAGCACTTTCTGCAAAAAGCTGTTTACTATCTGTTGCTAAATTAGAGCCCTGAACACAGGCCTTTCCTTAAAAACATAAATATCCTCCAGTCGCGTTGCTCTGATGGATTTATGGTCGTTGCTTTGCTGTGATTGTGTATGAAGCAAGAAGAAAAAAGTTTGGGTAAAGTTTGGTGATGTAAGATGATTTATTCCTGTAGCCGTAGCAGAGTTTTGATGTGTGACAGTAATGAAGAGTGATGGAGTGCCGTTGCCGAGGAGGGCAGCTGGAGCATTCATTAGTATCCCACACCAGCCTGGACCTCACTGCTTTTATATTGCACCGTGCTTGCTTCTCGTTCACGCTGAACATTTTTTAGGTGTAAAACAATCCGATGTGTATCTTTATACAGTAATGATTTTTAGATAAAGGCTGCACAGGCTGAGCTCGGGTCAGTAGCTCCAGCGGCCATTTTGCTGCAGCGTGTTGAGAGCCACTCTCTGGTGGTTTGTGAAAGCCTTAATGTTAGATTCACGGGCTGCGGGGTTATGTAACTGTTTTGTCCTGCGTTTTAATCCCACGCTACCGTGGTGCTTGTTTTCCAGGCTCGCCTGAGATTGTGGAGAGCGGTGGGGGAGGAGGGGGCTCTCGTCGGCTGAGGACAGCGTACACCAACACACAGCTGCTGGAGCTGGAGAAGGAGTTCCACTTCAACAAGTATCTGTGCCGGCCGAGGAGAGTGGAGATAGCGGCTCTGCTGGACCTGACCGAGAGGCAGGTCAAAGTCTGGTTCCAAAACCGGCGCATGAAGCACAAACGGCAGACCCAGAGCAAGGAGAACCACAACGGGGAGGGGAAAGGGCCGGGCGCCGAGGACGGCATCCACAGCGACGAGGAGGACGAGGCCCCCCTGTACGAGCGGAGCGGGGCCCTGCTGGAGAGAGATACCTGCTCCTTTCAGAACAACTCTCTTAGCTCCGCACAGCAGCTCCACAATGGAGAGTCCATGAGCTTTGCTGCTGCGCCGCTGAACAGCAATGACAAAAATCTGAAACATTTTCCCAACCCGTCACCCACTGTTCCGGGCTGCATGTCAACAATGGGCCCCGGCTCGGCATCTGGCCCGGACAATGGCGACAGTCCCCCGGCCCTGGATGTTTCTATACACGACTTTCAGCCTTTCTCCTCGGATTCCTGCCTACAGCTCTCCGATGCGGCCTCGCCGAGCTTGTCAGAGTCTCTGGACAGCCCCGTGGACATTTCTACGGACAGTTTTTATTTTTTCTCGGAGTCTCTGACTACAATCGACCTGCAGCATCTGAACTATTAACTCGAATCAATCACAGTAACTTTTTTTTCTTTCTTTCTTTTTTTTCTCGGGACAATAAATATCAGGCTACCATGGTATTAACTCTAATGTTATTTGTATATTCGGCACATTTATTCTGTTGATATTTGACTTGACGATTAATTCAAGGTAAGGATGAAATGAAATCACTGAAGTAGCTCTACTCAACCGTGGCTTGTAATTACCATAACAAAATGATCTCTTGGAATGGAAATTATGAGTGTATGTGAATAATTATACAATATTAGGCCTATGGAACCTGGTCATTTTTATTTTTGTATAGCTTCCAACGTCTTGGATATTTTTGTTAGAATACAATTAACTTGCTACAATCTTTTTTTTTCCCTGGTGTTTTTGAGTCGTTTCTTTTTCTACTTACACTCCGAATGTTTGTGTTTGAATTATTCATGTATAAAATATGCAAAAAGAAAAAAAAAAGAAAATAAGTAGGGCACAGGAAGATAGAGACGGTATGCAAATTTTAACAACAGGTTGGCAATGAATATAAATAGTCTAGACCGCACTGAGCTGTGAAGGCACACACACGTTTGAATTTAACTTTTATTATATAATTCAATTTCAACATAGTCTGAATTACTTTCAAATGTTTCCTGAAAGATAAAATAACCTGTCTCTTTATAAAATGAAAGAAAAGGCAGTTTATTTTCTTATGTTAAACTTTAGTCATAAACTTTTATTATTATCATTATTATTAGAAAAATGACTATAAAATAGGCCCGTTTGAAAATAAGCAGTTAATAACTAAATTATTGATGCCAATAATTTAGAGAAATACGTTTAGAGAATATTTACATTTATTTATGCTGCCTGCAGTCAAACTAATATAAGTAATTTCTGTGTTCACCTTCAAACTTCATACTTTGTAGAGAAGGGAGAGAAAAAAAAAGCAAATACGCCAGCAAGGATCTTAGCATGACAGGGCTCTTAACATTGTGTGCATGTTGCAGGCAAATACCCGAGCCATGTTTGCCTTCAGGAGCTCATAAATCACTCCGTGGCATGAATGAGACGGACATTAAGGAGACCAATTGTGGCGTAATGTGCACAAATAAAACCCCACTTACATTTTCATATGGGACTCCCCAATTCCTGAGCTAAAAAAAGGGGGCTGAGTCTCTGCATGCATTTGGTAATAATTCATTTTTATAGCTTGTTTAAACACGGCTCTGGCTCGGCCACAGCGGCAGCGGCAGCAGCAGCAGCAGCAGCAGCAGCAGTAGCAGTAGCCTTGTTCAGGTTATGAGGCTGCACTCTTTGCCCGTGTGTTAAAAGTAGCCAAAACTCAACACAGACTACTTGTGGACTCGATTTGATTTATCAGACACACATTTACTAAGAATGGCTCGCTTATGCTGCACAGAGAAGATCATTCTGCAACATTACGCAACACTTTATCAGGAGAGTTTGTGTTTGTTTTTTTTTTTGCAACATTACTGGAGCAGCAGTAATAGTGTTAGTGTTGCACTGCTACACAGTCTTGCAGTTCAACATAGGGATTATGAATGCTCTTGTATTGTATTGCGCTTGAGTTGACTTGTGGGAATCAGCTATTGGTTCATGCACAGCTTGACTCAATAGGTTGTTCCACTTTAACAGATTTGTGTGAGAACAGTAAAAAAAAAAAAAAAAAACACCGGTTGCGACTACGGCCCGCGTGGATCGATCCAATCCAAGAAACTCATCTTGCACGTGCGAATTTCACAAACTGGAGCGTTCAGCGGTTTATCGAATAATCTGGAAGCTATAAACAGCCCATCGACTGGCTGAACACTAGACCACTAGACCACTGGGCAACAGGAGTGTGTGGTGTGTGGTGTGTGTGTGTGTGTGTGTGTGTGTGTGTGTGTGTGTGTGTGTGTGTGTGTGTGGGAGGGGGTATAGGGGTAAAAGCAGAGGCTGTCCCTGCACTCCTGCACTCTAACCACAAGGCCCGTGTGGGCTATAACCAAATCATTCCAAGACAGCGCGCCTTTTCTGTGCACATGTGTTCACACAAAGAGCCAAGAGTGCTCCCGAGGCCTGGCGAAGTTTCCATAGGCAAAAGGCAGGTCCACTGCGCCACTCACTACGTTGCGAGGCAGCTGGGAAGACGGGGGGGGGGGGGGGGGGTATTGACCCCACTGCGCTTCTTTTGACTGGTGGGAACTTTGCGCCACCTCCTCACTTTCTGTAAAATCCTATAACATGCAAAGATAAAAACTTTTAATCTATCTATCTATCTATCTATCTATCTATCTATCTATCTATCTATCTATCTATCTATCTATCCTCAATAATGTAGGCTAATAATGTCATATCAATAATCACAGTGAACATTTTTCGTGTTTAACTACATACCGCCGGTGGGGGCGCTCATCTCTCCATCTGATCTTCTCATCCTCCCACCCTCCCTCCTCCCCTCCCCTCTCTTTTCCTTCCTCAGTGAGAGGTTGGCCCTGGACTCTTGCTATCGCTGCCGCAGGTCTCCCACGCAGACACCCCCTCCCCACTCTCTCTCTGCGATTCCCAACGCTACTTCTCGTGGCCATTAATTTCTCCAACAGCTTTATTTGATGAACTTAACAGGATAATCAGCCCACACTCGCACCTCGGGCTATATATATATGGGCGCATTAGCTCCACGACGGGCCTCGCATTATCAGATCATTTGATCACCATACATGCATAATGAATATATGTGGGAGTGAAATCAGAGTAGATAGCGGACCCCATGACCCCGGGAGAGAAAGAATTAATACCACATCATCTTAATGTTTAATGTGTTGTCTTGTCGTTACATCACCTGTGACCTCCTACAAACATCTCTAATGCGACCTTGATGGGGGAACAAAGTTAGAGAGGAGCCCTGAACTGAAATAGTTTGTGTCTGTCAGGAGTGAAACCTTCATGCCTCTCCCTCACTGTCAAACTGTGACAATATTTGCTGAGCAAATCTCTCACAGTGTTAAAGCGTGAAACACTTCGCATTGGAATGGGACACTGATAGCCCACAGATAGCCTGTGGCAGTGGCACACACACACTGAGCCATCCATCCATCCAGCAGAGAATGACACTATTGTACATATGACAGCAGAATGGCTGCGGAATACAGACGCGCACGGAGCGCACAAGCACAACCGCCTACAGACCACACACACACACACACACACACACACACACACACACACACACACACACACACGTACACACACGCACACACACACGCACACGCACGCACGCACACACCTATTCTGCTCTCTGTTCCAAAAATAGCATACCTGAGGTCAGAGTGCTAGGTCGTCCTCATGGAGAGGTTGCAGAGGGTGAAACGTTAATCTTTCCCCGGGCGGGAGAGTGCACAGTGGGGTGGGGGGGATAGAAGACGCAGTATTTGCCGTTCCCCAGCTCTTCTTGCGACCCCGGAGCTGTCCACCGCCGTCTGCCTCCCAGCTCATTGTTTGCTTGGCCAATACATTAGTGGCGACGCGCGTCACCTTGATCGACGAGCGCCTGGAATTTAAATAGCCACTCAAACACCAATCTGTCACCGGCTTTACGGGGATAAGGACAAGTGCCTCACTGGCTGACCCGGGCCCACGTGACAGCACCCGTTCATTGATATCGGCCCGTGCTCCCCCCCCCCTCCCTCCTCTGATAAGGACAGAGTATAGGTAAAGGTTGGCACGGTCACTCAGGGTAAGAGGGGAGAGAGGAAGAGATCAGAGGGTGTCTGTAGAGCGGACGGTCCCTCGGTCCCGGTAGAACAATGCTACAATGAGCAGCTTCCTAGACTACTCGGTGATGAGCGGTGAAGGTGGCTCGTGCTCTGTCAGGGCTTTCCACTCGGACCACGGGATAACAACTTTCCAGTCCTGCGCGGTTACTGTCAACAACTGCGGGGCAGATGACCGCTTCATGGCGAGCAGGGCTTCCCCTGACGGCATTCCTCACCAGCCGGGGTCATATCAGTCTACTGCCAGCTCTCTGGGTCTCGCCTATGGGGCCCACCCGGCCTGCAGCTCCAGCTATGGACCCCAAAGTTTCTGTGCTACGTACAACCATTACGCGCTCAACCAGGAAGTAGACTCCACAGCTGGATTCCCTCAGTGCGGCCCACTGATGTACTCGGGGAACATTTCCTCCTCTATGGTCTCTCAGCATCGCCAGGGTTACAGTGCCGCCCCCCTGGGCCAGCTGCAGTATGCCCACGCTGCCTACGGTGGCGGGCACGAGCAAGCAACCCCTTTTCCTGGGTGCTCAAACCCGCTGTCACCTCTGCACGCAGCTCACCTGGAGGCTTGTTGCTCACCTCTGTCTGAGGGTGCATCTTCTGCACAGACCTTCGACTGGATGAAAGTCAAGAGGAATCCACCCAAAACAGGTAGGTGCCAAGTGGTGCCTGTGGCAATGGCACAAAGTCTAATATCTGTAAATAGCATTGGCTTAGAATTCTTTAAACTGAAGTGATGTCAGATGAGCATGAGTGTAGCCAAAGACAAATTGTTGAGTTCAAATTTGACACTTTAAATTTGACACTTCCTGACTGAATGTGCCAACTTCATAATTGTGCCAGGAGAAGACAGAAGGCTGGGAACACCTCATGTTGCATAAAGTAGAAGCAGGGATTATTGTTTGTATTATTTTAGACCTGTGATACAAATATTACATCATGTTTCAAAGTATCTGACATTAATGGACCTCTGCGTAAAAGTTGCTCCCAACCACAAGTTGTAAGGCAGTGTGTGTTGTGAGCAGAGAACACGCAGGGTCTCTCTCTTTTTCCTTTTGGGAGTTCACAGTGATTGGTTTCTCTGTCTGCAGGCAGGTCAGGGGAGTACGGCTACGGGGGTCAGCCGAACACGGTCCGGACCAACTTCACCACTAAGCAGCTAACGGAGCTGGAGAAGGAGTTCCACTTCAACAAGTACCTGACCAGGGCGCGGCGCGTTGAGATTGCTGCTGCACTGCAGCTGAATGAGACTCAGGTGAAAATCTGGTTCCAGAACCGGAGGATGAAGCAGAAGAAGCGGGAGAAGGAGGGTCTGCTGCCGGCCAAAGCTCCAGCCTCCGAGGCGGAAGAGAGCATTCAAGAGAAACTGGACGATGCAACATCTGAGAAGTCGATCTCAGCCCCTTCTACTCCTTCTCCCACATCCTCTACGGTGTCTTCCACGGGGGCTGATCCTTATTCTTCCAATTAAGAATCAACTGCCTCTTTATCTCTTCGGGCCACAGGCGGCCTGTATATACCAAAGCTCATGCCCAGTGTATCAAAACCAAAGTTCTGGTTGATGGATAACTTGTGTGAACGTTTAGAAAGAGTTAATGCACTATTTGGAACTTTGGACAATAATATGGACCAATTCTGGGTTATAGATTTGTTTTATATCGTGTATTGTGTTCGGAAGAACAAGATAATTGCTGTTCAAACAAATGTAGGTCATGGTTTAAAATGTGTCAACTTTCCTTTGTAATTTGACGTTAAATAAGCGTTACGCTAGGACCACGATGGTGCAAAAGATATCCAGTACTTTCCTTATTCCTGCCCCTCACCAGGGCTGCTGAATGTGCCAATGTATCGTCACAAAGACGCACACACATACACGCACGCACACACACACACACACACACACACACACACACACACACACACACACACACACACACACACACAAAAACAAATACCTCAAATGTGCCAAAGTTGTGCGTCATGGCCACGGCCATGTGGCTGATTGCACTGGATGTCGTCAATTAGGCATCACACAATCAACGAGATGACCTCGTTAATTAATCGCTATAGAGTGCATTGTTATAGTAGCTCCTTAATCACTGTCACTTCTGTGTTTCAGGCCTGTGAGTCTGTGTGTCGCGACTGTCTGAATGTCTATTGTGTGAGATTTGCATGATGCGTAATGCTTTCATGTTTTATTAGCAGGGCGCTGAGTTTTATCAGTTGGGGAACCGGTCATTGATGGCCATGTGTGTTCCAGGCTTTTATCTATTATCTATTTAATCCAGTGAGGCACATACAAAATGTTTTGTCCAGAGAGACGTTTACGGGTCAATCATGTGTATTAAAGTGCGTTTACCTCTAAAAACTCCTCCTGTATCATTGCTGAGGGGAAAGTCTTGGGAGAGACAGAATTAAAGAGACTTTTCAGATTATTTTAACACATATCTTCCACTTAAATCCACCCATCAGACCTTCATTTTAAGATCTACAGCTCTGTCCATTCCCCCCACCCTCTGAATAGCCGCACGCGTCTCTTTTACGCACCGCAGAGTCTCTCAATGTATGCGGCCGTGCGCGCTCCCGTCCCTTGGGGTAAAGAGTTATTGGCATACTAAAGGCATGTTTATCCACGGAGGAGATGAGAGCGCGGACGTCCGCGTCATTTGTGATGACAACCTCATCGAGCTCTCGGCTTACTGAGGGGACAAAAAAGAGAAACACTTATCGATTAAAACATCGGGGTTAGGCTATCGACAAGGATGGGGCCCCACTGGCCCTGTCAGCGTAAACTCCTCAGTTCCCCCAAGTTACATGCAAGTGTCATCATCCACACCTGATGACAAGACGAACAGTGAAAACTTGCAGCAGTGCATGTCACACAGTCAACTAGGCCTACATCAAACATCCCTTTAACAAGAGCAATTATTTCGAGCTATAAGGAATATTTACGCCCATTGTAAACCTGCTCGTCAAAAACTTTAAGTAAATATCATATTCATATTTACAATATAAATACAATGATATGTATTCATACCACTCCATAAAAACATACAATTGTGTCTAAACTGGAACTTTTGTTTTATCTGCCATTTTCAACGTAGCCTACATCCTCTGTCCCGTGTTCAAACTGAAGAAAAGCTGTTTCCTGATCCAGTTGCTGTTTTAATTCCTGGTGTGCAGGATGCGAGTCCATCCTTCCATAAAAGGGCAAAAAAAACGCCGAAAGAGCCATGATTAATGAGCGACGTTCACCTTTACCTGAGATCCACCTGCGGGAGCGGCTCTATTGGAGCTGTGGAGACCTGAGGCTGCAGCACAGGCTGCTCTGTCTCCTTCACTGGAACAGGAGAGTAAGTTATGTAGACGGCCTGTCTTTTATTAATATCACCTTTAGTCGCTTTATTTTCGATGCTGTTAATTCTGTTGTGTGTATCAGGTGTTTTTCTACATTCAGGACAAAGTTGGTGCTGGATGAAACCTGGGACAAGGTTAGCCGGGTAACTGCAGACACCCTCATTTTGTTGTTTCGCTGTAAATAGTGAAGAGTGCACATAGACTTGTTGCTCAGGAGCCTGTTTGTGTTTTTCAGGACAATCTGGAAGAGACTGAGGTGAAAGAGTCGCTATCTCTTATTTCCGGAGAAAAGAAAAAGTTAGCCTCATATCCTCTCTCTGTATGTAAAACGAATTATTATATTTTAGAAAATAAATCATCTATAATCTTAATTTTCATCAAAAGGTCTGTAGTAATTTAAGTAAACGTTAATGTAATTATATATATATATATGTATATATGTATATATATATATATATATATATATATATACTGTGTGTATATAGATATATATATATATATATATGTATGTAATGTATATATGTATATGTATGTATATATGTAATGATCATTTTAAGGCGATTGTAAATAGGTTAGTGTTAGGGTTAGGTTAGGCCCACCTGTTTTAACATTTTAAGCCAAAACGAAAATAGTTCTAGTTGTTGTTCTTGACTATATCAGTATCTCTGCTTCTTTGTGAAATTATTCAACACATCTTAAAATGATCATTCAGCCTCGCTGCTTATAAAGTTTAGACTGATAGGCTGACGGAATCATACATTGATTAGATTTTCAAGGCAGCATGAAAATAATGAAATTGTTAATTAACATTATTTTGAACAAAGGAATACATATTTTAAAATGCTATTATTAGATTATATAATAGTCAAAAGAAGAGTTCAGAAACATTTTGTTTAAACTTTTTAAAACGTAAATTATCTCTTTATTTGTTTTTTGACAGATTAATTCTCATCAATTTTTTTAAACATGACAGTGGCTTTGGAAAAATATTTATTTCACTGTCTAATATACACATTTCTATATTCTATGGTATAATACGTTTTTAATTCATTTTGATTTTGTATACGACCCTTGACAAAAATTTTAATCAGCAGCCAAACCTATATCATATTTCCACAGCCGTCCCTCTATTCTGCCTCTAAGTACAAGTTCCCCTCTGTGCAACAAAGACTGACACAAATTTGGCCGCAGATTCCAGATTCATTTTTGTGTGTGTCCAAAGAGCCAAGATTTTAAATGTTTAAATTTAAATAAAATAGCAGTTGTAATAGAGACTAACACGATGAAGAAAGTTATTTTCTTCTTACACGCTTTCAGTTATTACTTCATTTGTGTAGGTTATTACTGGATAAAATAAATAGTAGCTAATTTAAAAGCTTTGTGTGTGTTTCTGGCGACCCGCTTCAAACAACCTAATGGACCCTTGGGTGTCCCCGCAACCCGTTCTTTGGGAAGTTTAAACTCCATGATTCTCCCTCCAGGCCCCTGCGCGCTTTGCAGGAACCGCACAGACTCGATTAGAGACGCAGCTGATCCTCAAAAGAAACCCCGGGGTCATTCCTCGGTCACAGTTTGAGTTTGTTGTCACAGCACCACCCAAACCTAAACAACAGTTTACAGACCACACTGGGCAAACAAGTATCTCAACAAGGCAGCCACAGTCCAGGCTGTTTGACCAAAACACACTCAGACTCTGTGCTAAACGCTGAAATGACCTCAGTCCTGTGAAATTAGGACGTTGTTACTGGTCCCGTCGCCAGAATCTGGTCCTGCGCGGCTGCTGGTTCCCATTAAGGCCCTCAGATAAACACATGGACGATGACAGACGCTTGACACAAACCATTAAGGCTTTGTGAAAAGACGGACAGACGTTTAAAGCGTTTGACTCAAGAAGGTGAAGCAGAAATTAGATGAAGAATTCATTTGCGCGTCCTTGATGTGGCCTAAAAGAGACGTGCGCCTTGTGCCAAGCACACATTTGTACCATGGTTGTGATCGGGAAGCTGCAGATGAAACAAATGACTTTCTGACATTGATCGGTGAAATAGTTCAGTTCGTATAATAGTTACAGCAACTGAAAGAGATTTTACACTGTTCTTCAGAAACGAAGGGAAACAGTGAATGTCTATTTCAAATACAGGAATCTAGATTTTAATTTGAACATTCCCCTAAAAAACAGAGGAAATACAGGACAACAACTTTTTCAAATTTGCAAATTATGAATTTAGTTTACTTATATAAAATTAAATGTAGTAGTGTGTTACATTTTTTTTAATGAATTGAAGATTTGAGCTCAAATATGAAAAAAGGGTTATATCCAGCAAAATACTATTTCTAATGTAGCAGAACGTCTTTAATGAGTTATAGTTAAAACAGTTAACAGTTTAAAATATTTTTTAATGTAAGTTTTTTGAAATATTTTTCTTTTGTTCGAAGTTTGTGCACAAATTGGACCTGATTTAAATATTCATACGGGATTTTGTATTTTTTAAGAACTACAATAACAACAAGTATTAATAATATTATTCTTCATCAGTATCTAACATCACATTTATATCTGATTGTAATACATTTTGTTTTATTTACATTTTCTTCTCTACTTAATAAAAATCTTTAATGAGCGTCCATTTGTAATAAATTGTTTATCACAATAGTAATATCTTAATTATAAGACTTTTGTATTTTGAATGGTGTCAGGAAGCATTTAACCTCCTCAAATCCTTTTGCTCTAAACCTGCATCCGAGCTGTAAAAGAAGCCGTTTTAACACAGTGCTTCACTGGATTAAAGTTTTCTGTCTGAGGCTAAATGATAAAAACTTTGGAAATCCTCTGTAAATCCTTCATTAAGATGCCATGCATTCGCTCCTCAAGACGGAATAAAAGCAGGTAAAGAATGAGCAGCTCGCTATAATGTGACTTATTTTCTCCAACAGTGTCAGTGGACACAGAAAGATGACTTGTGAGACACGAAAAGGAAGCAGAGTTGACAACAGGACTCACAGGTCACCACCTGAAAAGCTGCAGGTATTTATATCCCAGAACCACACACACACACACACATACACAAACACACAGACACACACACATACACACACACACACTTTCACACACAG